AAGGAAAAGAATGCTAGTGGAAAAGATATTAGTAAGAAATGCCACAGAAAGGTAGAGGGGAAATAATATTAGTAAAGTGCTGTGAATCTTCAGTAAAGTATAAATAATGCATAGTGATTAGAAACAATAGTAAATAATACCAATATATTTGTTTTAATAGTAACATATATAAAACACACACTAAAATGTATGTAATCACTACCTGTAGGTTGACAAATACACTAAGAATAAACACAAATCCCTTTTATTAATTTTATAATACAATTACTACACTATTTTTACTTCATCAATTCAGAGATCTCCAAAGTGATAATGCCTGCTTAGAAGTCTCACCCATAAAATAAAGCCTCAGCATGCTTTGGTAGTTTTTTTCTTCTTACTTTGAGATTGCTCTTCTCATATTTAATTCTCCCTTTAAGCTCTGAGTAAATATAATTTGATATTTGTTAGCCCTGTGGACCTAAAATTTTGAGGCTAAGGATACCTTCTTTGATGAGTTCACCCTCAGACTGAAAGCATCTAAATCAGGGCCTGGCAGTAATGTCTTAGGTACATAAAGGCTCTTTTTGAATGTTTTTTTTTTTTTTTAAGTCCATTCTTGCTTCCATTTTAAACAAAATTTTGTGTTGAGTTACTATGTGTTATTAAGGTGAACAGAAAATTGGGCCTATGGTTTCTAAATCAGATAAAGTAGTACATCCAGAAAACTAATACTGTTGGCCTAGTGAATGCCCACTGAAGGGAAGGACAATTAAAACATAAATTATGTGTTTGTTTAGTGTTTGTCCTGAATGATCATGTAACAGACAAAATTTTGTTTAATCTACTGATTTAGGAATGCTTGTTAAGATAGATTGAGCTTGAATTGTATTAACAGTTCTATCTATCTGAATATTTATTTCTGAGTATTTATAATTAGGTCATTTCTTATCCTGATAATCCATCCTACTCTCTAGGAATGGATTTGCTTTAACAGGCTTCTGCTACTTTCTCAGATTTCTACGCTCATTTATATATGACATACAAATCTAGTCAGTAAATAAAAAACACAAAAACAGTGAAATTAGACAACACATAATTGCTGATATGTAAGTACCAGGAAACATTACCCTTCAAAATTGCAAAAACTCATATACTTGCTGCAATTAGGTTCATATGTCCTGTTCTCTAATAAGCTAATGTCCCTTCTCTGTCATTTTCAGTGCAATTAAAAGAATCCTAAGTATACTCATGTTTCAAGATAATAGAAACATTATGTTTTAAAAATTTTTATATTCATGATGATAATACATGTGAACTGGATTTAATAAAAGGCTATTTGAAAACAAAATGATCAGTATATACCTCCCAAGAACATAGGCAGGTATGTCATCACATTTGTTGGTCCTTCATTTTATAAAAAGGAAGCTAAATATTAATACTTTCAGAATTTTGGGGGGTTTGGAGAGGTACAGATCAGCTGTATCAGCAGCAAATTATTTCATTATTTTTAGGCTTCTGAGAACTGAACAAAACTTTAGAACAAAATTATTGTGCTGAAATTAGGCAAAAAATATTTTCCAAATTTCAATAAAAGGAACATCTACCAATTATTATTTAAATATGCTTTATAGAAAGTAAAAAACTGGACGACACATAAATTGAGAATACCTTTCCTTATATAAAAACTTGATGATATATTTGAATCATTTATAGTTTCAAAGAATAAGCTTTCAAATGCTTTCTAAATGTAATGCAACTGGGTTTTACAGCTATCAAAATAAACTGCCATTCTGGCAGTTGGGTCTACAGGAAAGGATATTATCTTTATTGAATAGAAACCCTTTTAACTTATAAAAAGGGAAAAATAAAAGATATACTAAAATAATTTTTTGAATATTTTAATATCCCATTTTATTTTGTGCAGTATACTCTTTCATGCTACTTTAGGGTATCTCTGGGCCTTCACTGTTAAGGACAATGCTACATCAATTGGCAGTCTCTTCTATGCAGAGTTCCTTCATAAGGATAGAAAATCAAAATTTTTTTCTAAATATAGGCAACAAAAACAATTTTATCTCAACTGTTGTTATTTTGCCCTTAACAAAAGCAAGATGCCAAGCACTTTCATCTCACTTTAGGAGCAAAGTTCTTATCCCTGTGGCTATAAACTAGCTAGGTTTACACTAGCCGTGGGTTCTTGATGTTTTCTCAGATACATCTCACATTGTTCCAACTGGGGATAATTATAATAATCCTGGAACCTGAGATCTGGACAATCAGAGATTAAATGCACAGAGTGAACAAAACTTAAAAAATCATCAAGATAACTCTTATATTGGGATATTTTCAAGTTTTTTAGCATGGTGCTACCTTGAAAGGATTGAAAGCTGCTTTGAGAATAGACACAAATGAGTATTTTATATCATTAGTTAATTATAATAAACAAAGCTATTGTAGAGGAGATGTGAGTAAAGTAGTTCATAAATAAAATCTGCCTCCTTTCAATCTAACTCCTCTTCACTTTGTCAGTTACTCCAGTCTATTTGTGCAGCACTAATTTTTCATGCTTTTGTGAGGAATAATGAAATATACAGGCTGATGTTTCTGACTGGGTAACATTCAGCCTAATTCTGTACTACTGAATTTTTATTATATAAATAAAATAATAAAATCTCAACAAAATGAGAGGACAATATTATCCTTATTATAATCTAAAACCCATGAAGCCAATTTTTCCCAGGCTATGGTTATCTAACAGAAATAATTCAATCTGGATCAATTTTGGATTGTGGGTCCTTTATTTAGGGACTTCTTTTTCTTAGTTTTTATCAAGTTAAGTAGAGAATTGATAAAAAGATATGATCAAGTTTTTGAATGTTCTGTTAAGATACTCACAATTGCATTGTTCTTATTTTATTTATGGTAAACTACTATATTTGCTGTCTTCTTTTCCCCATTTCAAACTTCTTAAACATATACTGCAGAACATAAATGCTATGCTTTAATATTTTTTTAGCTGTTTACTTTGTATTGTCTTACCCTGGTTAGAAGGGAAATAGACAGTTAGCTTTTTTGTTTATAAGAATCCAGACACTGGGGTGATGGCTCACCTCGACCTAACTCGAATTTAACACTGTACTTACTCCATTGCTGATGCCAGGATTAGCTCCACTGTTTAAGAGAACTGTGGCTTCATGAAGCTACTGTGTACAAGGAATTTATGAAAATACAGCACAAGGATATTATCTTTATCATAAACCTCCCGAGAAATTATTAATCTTTGCTGGAGAAATAAAATTTCATAAATCCTGTCCAAATGTGGACAAGGGAAACAGTTGTCATTGTTTCAGCTAAATTTTATTCCTGGTTAAAAAAAAAATCATAGTGTTCAGGGATACAATTTTTTCTATGTAATGAAAATAATATACTGAACTTTAAAGGTATAAGAAAAGAGAATGGAGATTATGAATGTAAACACTAAAATAAGGGCACGCAACAGATGCTAAAGAAGAATCAGAAGCAAACCTTCCAAAAGCCTGGTGCCTTTCCAACCCACTTAGGGAAATGTGTCTAAATAGATGGGTGGGTAGGAGACCAGAACTGGAGTGGTAACCAGAGAACTAAACTTAAAACCACTCATCTCATGGGTTATAATCCATTTAATGAGTGGTTCATAAATTCTGAGTTTCATCTATTTTATTCTGTGGGTATAACTCCCCAACAATTTTACCTTTACCAAAGTTAGTGTTCATGCCCTGTTTTAAAATAGTTCAATCCTTACGCTATTTGTAAAATAAGGGGGTGGGAATAATAACTATCTTAAATAGTTTTTAATCTTCATTGTCAAGACTTTCCATGTTGATTAGGTCCGCTTAGCCTCCTAAAACCCCACAACACATTCTACTCACATGGTTTTCTCCATTATTACTAATTCTTCCTGCTTTGATTTTATCAGGTAGAAGCATTCACAGTGCACTCAGACTTCTCTGTATATAATGTAAAAAATTAGCACAATGCAGAGTCATTTATGTGTATATTCTAATACTTTTCTTCAAGTATGGTTTCTGAGGACAAATGAAAACTTTACTAATTTTTAGGTAAGTGTTCTTATAAAAAGGGTAGTAGGACTAAAATACTTGAATATAGTTTCTGATAATTCCTAATTTTAAGTTGTTTTAAAGTTACTCATTTGTATTTAATATAAGGAATTAAAAGAAATTTGAACTTTCAAATAGCAAGTACATGAAATAAAACCCTCATTTTAAGTGACCTATGTAAAAACAAAACCAAACAAAAACTGACCTATAATTTTAGTAATTTCTACTTTAAAAAATGGGTACTGGTGTTAAGAAAAAAGGTGGAGGGACACTTAAATAATATGAAACCATATGCTTAGACAATATGGAAAGTTAGGCAGAGGCATTTCATTTTCCAATGAATAATATTTTGCATTTATATAGCACCTAATATAGTCAAAGTGCTTTATGATCGTTACTTTACTTGACAGTCATTCATTAATATACATAAACATGGTTTACAATCTGTCAACAAATCTAAGCACTTTGAGGCAACCAAATACCCAAGAGATTCTATTCAGTAACAAATTCTTGGTCTAACACATAGAATTAGGAAAAAAATGTAAAAGAGATATGTCAGAACATCACATACAAGAAGTTACTTAACGATCTTAAAGACTAATATTAGGATGTTAACTGTTAGGAATTATTGGGAAATAGAAGGGATTATATTAAAGAAAAAGTAAAATAAGTAAGATGCAAGTCAACAAGGTAGTTGCCCAAAAGGTAAGAAGACTGTTACTTTTAAGTATGGGAAAGTAAATCTTTTATGTGACAGGCAACTGAAGTTATTAATGTCAGCCACATTGCTAGAATTTGATCAATTACAGTGATACTGCAAAACAATAAAAAAATTAATGCACTGCCTTATTTTTTCTTCTGTTAATTTCCCCTCAAAATAAACAATGCATTCACTTCTACCAGCAAACTAGCAGGAAATAATGAAATTCTATGTATTGATGATGTTAAAAAAGTCCAAATTTTCAGACAAATTTAATTTCCTATAAAACAATGTGAAAACTCATTTTTCCCCTCTAAGTAAGTCTATCAGGTGCCTCAGGTAAGATTTGATTAGCACCTCAGCCAATGTATTTGTCTTTGCAAAAAGTATACTTGCCAACCATTTTATATAGTAAATATGCAAGTTATTTGAAGTGCATTTGGAAAACAATTGAAAACACAGATTAATACATCATAAAAAGATTAATTTCCTTTAAACAAAGACATTCTTATAAAGCATGATAACACAGAGGCACAATAAAGAATATAAATTGTATACCAATTATTGGCAGAAAATCTAATTCATTACAAAGCCTACACCAATGGGGAAAGGACATTTTCATACAAAGAAAAGTACTACACTATCATACAACACTTTTAATTGGGCATTTAAAAATTTTTGGCACATTAAAAGGAACTGAAAAGACTACACAATAAATGATCAAGAATGAAAACATTATAGATAAGGGAGAGAAAAAGTCCTCAAGGAGAAACAACTAAATATTAACATAAAGTAGAGACAAAATAAAAGCTGGCTGAATTTCCTGAAATGTTATATGTAACAGAAGTATGCTTTGAATGCAGGGTGATTTGTTCTAATGGCAAGACTTGTCTACCTTGCTGTGGCTGGTTGGACATGGCCCGGGTATGATCTTCTTGCGCTGGTTGCCTGTCTTTGCCTAGCCAGAAATGACTGCCCTGAACCTGTACTAGCAAGCCTATCTTCAGCTGCCCTTTTGTGCAGAGTCATTCCCTATAACAGAAAAAAAAAGTAATCAACAAAAAACCAGTGGAACATTCTCATAAAAGAGAGTTTCATCATGCAGAATTTATTATACCGCAACATAAGGCACAATTTAGAATGTTAATACTGCTCATTACAGATTAAAATCTTGACATTTAGATCCAACCACTCCAAATCTTCCTTTGGAAAAATTAGTTAAATTTTCTGAATTTACAGTAACTGGAAATATATTTTGGCATATATTACACACTTCCCATTCAATCAAGTGTAGTGATTTTCCAAGAAAAAAGTGCAATTGATTGGTAGCAGTTGATTCAAGACATTTATTTGCAAAGGGAAAACACAAAAGCACTTGTTTCTTAATGTGGAACACCACACTACATGAAATACATACCACTACGCTGTTTTTCTTCACCTCAGGCAGACTTGCATTCTCAAACAAATTAAGAACACTTCCTGACATCCCACAACAGAGGGCCCAACTGAGGGCAAGGGGTCTTTCTTGAAGACTGGAGAAGGATGGCCTACTAGCTTATAGGTGAGAGGAACCTCAGTTGCAGGGCCCAGAGCACCTTAACTGGAGGGAAGACACCTGGGCTGGGGGAGGCACTAAAACAAGGACAAGTCTATAAGTAGATCAGGAAAAAGTGGTTCTGGTAATGATTTAATAATTCAGCCGAAGAACCCAGCCAGAGAAACACTGAGAATGATTAGGTACAGTAAAGTGTGTCGTTCTGACACATTTCCCCTTAGGTCTTACTAAGAAGAACTAAGAATAAGGCAAAAAAAATCTAGGGAAAAAAAAATAGCAAAGAAAGTACAACATTCTTCAAAATCCACTGCTTTTCATAGGTAGACAACCTTACTGAAACCCAGAAAGTTGCTAATTCATTTTCCCCTGCAATACTTTTAAGGCTTTTTTTTTGTTGTTGTTGGAAAATTCCATTTCAAAATCTTTAGTGGTTCAGGATCTAATACCATGAGCATTTTTCAAATCCCAAGAGAGAATTAAATCATCCTCATTATAACTACCTACTCCCAAAAGGCACTGGAATAGTCCCACAAAATAAAAGCTACTGCGTTTGTGTTTAGGTGTTATTGAAGTCTCTTTCCCCTATAATAAAGTGGTTCCAGTGAAAAATTAAAATGCCACTTATCTTTCTAACCTCTAGGAATAATAATGAGTTCAAAATGCAACAATCCTATTTATGGTGGTTCTTAGGTCTGCTTTTAGTTGTAAAGTTAGCATTAAGGTTTTGTTAGTGTGAGTTAAAATAGCAATTACTTTCAGATTCATTTGGTGGAATTACTTTTATAGTAAAAGGAGTATGATAATACATATTCATTGCACTTTGAAATAGCTTTTGAAGTGTTATTTTCTTACCATATTGTACCAGGCACTAACAATGTATTTCTCTTCCATTTCTCGTTGACTCTTCGTTTTCTCATATTCTTTCTAAAAAACAAGCACATATAAGGGTGAAAAACAATTCAATATCTATAAAATAACCATAATTAACTATCTAAATTCATAGGTACAATTCTTTATAGCAAGTTTCCTAGGAAAGAATCAAAAATCAAACATCATATAGTAAAGACAGCCACCTCTAATGAATGGAACAGTCGATCTCGTTCCTGGAGTTGATTTTTAAGAGCCTGTATTTCTGGTGCTGCTCCTTGATTCTGTTTAGGGTCTAAAGTACGGATAACCTGTGAAAAGTAATAATAGAAAAAAATTAAAAGCCTCAAACTTAAAAGAACATACAATTTATGGAAACAGTTCTTAAAAAGGATAATTTAAAATTTGAATATATGAAATAACATTCAATTGTTGCAAATTTTAATTATATAAAATGTGAAAGAATCAATTATAGAAGTAATTCTGGCTTAATATTAATAAATCATATCACTGTCTTTCCTTTTCCTTTTCTCGTATTCAGTTCAGTGAGCACTTTGCCTCTGACCAGACTTGTACTTGGAGGTCCAGATGGCTTACAAGTCTTTCATTGTGACCCCACTCCCTCTCCCCATGGCTTGGTGGAGGCATGGGCATGTGATGCAATTCTCTCTGGTCAACTAAAGGTCTTCTGGGAAGGGTCATTTTGGTTTTTAGTACCAGTACTTTTACTATCAAAAAAGGATGAAATCTGTAGGAAACTTGAAAGAAAAGAATAATAGAATCCTTTAATCCCGATTCACCAAATGCTCCACTGCTACATTGGAGTTCTACACACAGATATCCCCATGTACACACACAATAGACTATTTTAATATTCAGCAGTCCTTATAATATCAACCCTTAAGTATTTCAACATGCATCTCCTGATACTAAGGACAATCACATATAGTGACAATATCATTATCTACAAGAAAACAGACAATGCTATAAATCACCACTATTCAGTCCAAATCCACCTTTCTAGAGGTATCTCCAAAATGTCTTCTATAATCTCCTCTTTTGCCCCCAATCCAGAACTCAAAGATTAACACACTGAATTTGGCACTTAGGTCTCTTCAGGTTCCTTAAATTTGAACAGATTCTTGTGCTCCCCCACACTTCATTGACAATTTTTGTTTTTCATTAAGAGTGACTTTTATCCCAAATTCTGGCTTTATCTGATGACTTCCTAAAGGTACTCTTTAACTTGTTCCAATAATCTCATTTTCCTGGGAACCAACAGGGAGGTCTAATTTTCCTCTTGCTAGTTGTTCTCCTGATAACTCTGCATCAAAAGTCACTAGATACACACCATATCTTGGGACATCAGTAAAACATGATCAGAAAGTGGAGTGAGTTGCCCACAAATTCATACTTACACTTTTGGCTTTCTCTAAGTATTTTTTATATCGCTCTTCCATTTGTTTCATTTCCTCTTCTTTCTTCCGTAAAGCTTCTTGCAATTCTTCGATTTTTAAGGCTACAGATGAGACAGTAAAAAAAAAATATATTTTTAAAGATTATAGCAACTTTTAAAACCTTTTAACTGACAAAATAATAAATACATAAATAAAGTTTTCCTTATAAACAAAAACTTGAGTATGGAAATGTACAAAATAAAAAGTATCCATGGAGGAAGAAGCCATGGGATATGCATATAAGCCAATGTTCAGCTTTTTCTGATACATGATACAAGGTAGAGGTATTACACTAAATGAAAATGAAAAACATCACGCTGAATGAAAGAAGACAGACATAAAAGGATGAATATCATATGATTCCACTTATATGAGTTACTGAGAATAGTCAAAGTCACAGAGAAAGTAAGGCAGTGGCTATGATACGATGGGGAGGGAAGTGAGAGTGAGGAGTTACTGTTTATTGGTGCTGAGTTTCAGTTTGGGATGATGAAAAAGTTCTGGAGATGGACGGTGGTTGCACAACAATGTGGATGTACTTAATGCCGCTGCACTGTGTACTTAGAAATGAAAGTGGTCATTTGTATGTTAAGTATATTTTACTATAAAACACTACAAAAAAGGTATAAGTCTATGTCTTGCTCCCAACTCAACACCAAAAAAATGAATTCAAGTTACTTATATGTATAAATATTATTAGAGGAATTTAGCTAACTTTATATGGAACTACTTTATGAAAACAATTTCATAAAGTATTCATTCACATTCACAGTTGAGAGAAAAACAACTATAACCAGAAATTTTACAAATACTGTAAAAATGATTATATACATTTCCTATAAATAAGGCAAATTCTTTCATTGCTAGAATATGTAACAGGGCCTACTTCTAAAAAAACCAATTTTATTTAAATTCATTATCACTGTGATAACCAATTTAGAACTATGCTAATTAGGATAACTCACAGCTGTTGTTAAATCTTGGTTCGAGGTCTTCGATAATAGCTCTCTTCTTCTGCAATTCATTATTGGCTTCATGCAGCTTCTCCCTGTGAGAAAATATGTAACACTGTGTCACTGACTACAGTTTTGCATTTTTTCCACTTCAAATGAAAGAGCTAAGTTGTTTATTCTTAGAATTGCATAAAATACAAATGCTATGAAACAAAGATAAAAAGACTAATCCCAACATAAATTTAATATTTTTCTAAAATAATTAAAAATCAGAGATAAAACCTCAGCCTGAAATATCAGCAGTCATTTCTTTTACATAAACATGCACAAGAGGATAAACAAGCTTAATGATTTTTATTTTCTGTTCTAGGAATGGGATATTATAAAAATTAAAAACTTTGCAGAGGGTTTATAATGCATAATGCAAAATCTTATTGCAAAGAAAGTAAAAGTTCTAAAAAAGGGCCTCCCTGGTGGCGCAAGGGTTGTTAAGCCTCAGTACTATGAAGCTATCAGCAGCCACTGCATCCAAGAGTTTCGTCCCCAGCCATGGAGCTAACCCACATGGAGCAGCAAATCTCTCCTGTCTCACCAGCTTCTCCCCTCAGCAGTGTATTTCAGTAGATCTACTCGGTTCCCACTCTGTCTCTGGTAAATCCTCTCATCCCTCCCCACCCCTGTACCTCTGGCCTACACCCCAGCTCTTACATTCATGAATAAATAAAAAATAAATCTTTAACAAAAAAAAATTCCAAAAATAAGAAAGAACACTAGACACCGAAAATAAAGATTAAATCGATACATACAACCACATGGCTAGATTTTACAGAAATATGTTCAATAAAGGGAATTCAGACACTGAAGGATAATACTGCCTGATTCTATTTGAAGTCGAGAAGTATCAAACCTAATGAAAGGTGACAGAGGTCAGCTTTGGGGATGCAATCAATCAACAGAAGGAGGACTGAGGAATTTTGGTGGGTTGCTAGAACTATTCTGAGTTACTTATGTATGCAGGAAAACATTCATCAAGTTGTAGGCTTAGGAACTTAGATTTTGGGCACTTCACTGTATATAAATTACATTCCAATACAATGTATAAAAATGCATTAACTGAACATAATTTTTCCTCTGCTATTTACATAATTTGTGTATTTCTCCTAATATATTTATTTAGTATGGCATTCTGTAATATGCGGGGGAAATAAGGCTGGAAAAAATTGGAAAAGAAAAAAATGACTAAAGAGAAAGTAGATCCTTTTAATGTCTTATTTCTGGTCTTTTTATGCATAATATTTTAATGTATCTTTTTCCTTTTCAACAAATTCATTTCTGAAGGTATGCATACACACAAAATAAATTTACACAGTTTAAAGAATAAGAAAATCTAAGCCCATTGAGAAAATATGTCATGAAATTAACTATCCTAGAAAGTGCTATGTGTTTCTATCCCCTTTCCCGGAGGTAATGAAGACCCAGAATCTTACTCATTCTTGTGATTTTTGTAATGGATCTTTGTATGCATCCTAAAGAATAATATTGCTTAATTGTGCTCAATTTTTATTCAATACATTAATTATATTAAACACATTGTTCCATGACTTCAATTTTTTACTTAACATTATGTTCGTTAGCATCACATATGTTGATAGGTTAGCCCTCGTTTATACATTTTTACCACTATATAGTGTTCTACTGTTAGACTATACCACACATTATCATTTTATAGCTGGTGGTATTTGTACTATTTCTATCTTTCTGTGATTACAAACACATAAGTCTTCTCATACTATGTGGACAACAGCACCTCTAGGAACCTAGCGTAATTATAGGGGAGAGTGGTACCAGTGGGTCACAGAGTATGGACACACTCAAATTTACTAAGTAAGCTCTTACAACTGTAATGGATTAAAAACATCACTATTCAACATGTTTGGCAATACTTAGTATGACAGTTTCTGAAATTTTACCTATTTGATGTAAGATGGTGTTCACTTTAGTTGTAAACTTAGATGTGAATAATCATCTTTTGAGATGTCTATGGGCCCAATTGTGGGTTGAGAATTGTGACTCCCAAAAAAGATATGTTGCAGTACTAAGTCCCAGTAACTGTGAATGAGACATTATTTAGAAATATAGTGTTTGTAGATCTAATTAGAGTGGGCCTTAAATCCAGTAACTGGAATCTTTGTAAGGAAGCCATAATGAAAGAAGAAGGTCATTTGAATAGTGTGGAACAAAGTAGCTACGAGCCAAGGAGCATTAAGGGTTGCTCGCAGCCCAAGTTAGAAGAGATATAGGGAATAGATTATCCCTGAGAATCTTTGGGAAGAACCAGTTTTACAGTCTTAAGAACTATTGGAGAATAAATTTCTGTCTTTAGCTACCCTGCTGTTGTAATTTGTTGTGGCAATGACAGCAAGTGAATACAGGCTTCATTTTCATGAATAAATTAGTTTTAGTTAAGATTTTTTTTTTTTTTACCATGTATAAGATTGAACACATAGTAATAGTCAGTTTTGTGAAATACAGTATCCTACAGAGACCAAATTCAGGACTGAATTCCAGTTTGAGGTAAATGCACAATGGCTGTAGGAAACATTTTCTGTTCTTCTAATACATTAAAACTCTGCTCACTGTTAGACTTGTCAGCAAGGGTCAGTTAGTAGGTGTTATCTCACTTTTTCCACATTAAAAAAATGGATAGAGTGGGGCAAACTGTCAGACAACAGAATTTCTTTCCAATCACAGAAAAACAAGACAAAATGATCTCTGTAATACTAAGGATGTCTGGTTCACTACAGTGTAACACTATAATATTTTAACAGGCTAGCAATTCATGGTCACCCTATATTTCATATGCATTGAATATGTCCAACAGTTTGCTAGAAAGTGTTAGGAGAGATTAAAGTTGTTACTGGTTGCAAAAAAAAAAAATCCAAAACATTCCTCATATAGTCAACTCAGCTAAACATAAAGATGAAGATTTTTTTTTCATGAGAAAATATGTAATATTTAGAAGTTTCATCTTCTAGATTAAAGTCATGTTCAGATGTTTGCAATTCAAAGAAGTGTTCAAAAATCTGCTACTGACAAGCTGTGTAACACTTTTTTTTTTTTTTTGTATTTTATTTATTTATTTATTCATTCATTTATACAAGCACTGGGTACAGTCAGAAGGGCGGGAGGGTGAGAGAATTCACCAGAGCCAGAGCAGGGGGCAGAGCAGGCAGAAGGACCGAAGTACACTGCTGAGGGGAGCAGCGGGCGGCAGGAGAGGTCTGCGCACCATGTGGGACCCTCCTCCGGAGGCCCGGGAGCAGCCGGGGATCGAACCGGCGCTGCAGAGGCTGCGGGCGGCTTCGCAACCCAGTGCTCAACCGCTGCGCCACCGGGGAGGCCCCAAGCTGTGTAACACTTTTTAAAAATTTTATTTAAAAAGGAAGATTCAGCTGGTCATGCTTAAGAGCTGGCAAACTACAATCTATGGGTCAAATTCACCATGATGCTTGTTTTTGTATTTAGTTTTATTAGAACACAGTCACATCAGTCTATGTATAACTGATAGCTGCTTCCAAGTGACAATCACAGAGCTGACTGGTGTGACACAGACCCTGGCTTACAAGCCTAATTCTGTCGGGCATTTTATAGAAAAAAGTCCCTGATGCCTGATCTTGTGTCTCAAACTCCCATCGTGAAGATACAAAACCCTGGAATCCCATTTGAGAAAATAGTTCTAAATAAGTAATTGTTTTGCTTTGAGGGCCTTGAGTGGAGATGACTTTTTAGACACTATTAAAATATCTTGTTTGATTTTTTAAAAAAAAGATTTATTTATTTATTTATACAAGAACTGGGGTACCAGCCAGATGCATGGGAGGGTGAGAGGATTCACCAGAGTCAGAGCAGGGAACAGAACAGGCAGACTGATGAAATACACTGCTGAGGGGAGCAGTGGGCGAGACAGGCGAGGTCTGCTTCGCCATGTGGGACCCTCACTGGCTGGCCAGGATGGAACAGGTGCTGCAGAGGCTGCAGACAGCTTCACAGTGCGGCGCTCAACGGCCTGTGCCACCAGGGGAGACCCTAAAATATCTTAAGTTTGATTTCTTTAGGATTACCCATGCCATTGCCTAGAAACTCTGTAGCCACTTAACATAAAACACTTGTTTCACCAGGTAATATAAGAATGAAATTAATTTTTATACTTACAGATGTTCTTCCAGCTTCTTTTTTAGAAGAACAGACTGAAAATGGAAAATAAAAAATAGATTATTACATAATATTTTAGTTATTAAAAATTAATAGTAATAACTAATGGGGAGAGCATCCTCAATAAGTTCTCTAGTACAAAAGCTCAAACACACAATGTATCTGAGTTCATTTCTTTCATAAGGAAGAGTATCTAATCAGTAAAAAATACCCAAAAGCTGCATATTTGAATTTTCTATATATAGTCAAGGAAATGAATTAAAGTCATTTATGTATAGACCTGGACTCAAGAGGTAGGTAGAATGCTAATAAAAACAGACTTTCCTAAGACAATTTTTATCTACTATATTGTTTTCCTTGTATCATAATGAAATCGGGACTCATTTTCAATATATGCTTAACTTAGAGATTTTTGAGTATGCACAGCTTGTAAATAATTTATTTGATGATATGAGAATATGACAAATGTTATGTGTAAAGAATTTAATATGCTGAAGAATGCAGCTCTGAGCATTGAAAAAAAAGTCTCCTGAAAAGATCAGATTTGCTCTAAAATAAACATAAATAATAATGATATTCTATACAAGACAACTAGGTTTCATAAAACTTATACTCATAGGGTACATATCATTAATGAATTTTATGAAACATTTCATTTTGAAGTAAATGATTAATTAATTGAATGACACTGAATTAAAAGTCTTACAGCTCAATATCATTGATATGAAAAATGTCCTCATACTAATTCTTTGATTTTCAGTCATCTTATTGATGATCACATTATTGTTTATTCAAGTTAATTCTAACATAGCTCAGCAGTATTTCAATATTTCTTTGTTCAGCATGACAACTACATATCAGTGGACCACAATGTCCTCTATCAGTGCTTTCCTCAAAAAACAAAAAACGATCCCTTTAATTTTCTAGTAAAAGGATAATATGAATACTTTTTAAATATCTGAACTTTGACTTTATACTTATGTTAGGCACTAGCAAAATTAATTTTAACTTCGAAATAATTCAAAATACAATAATTACTTAATATACCAGCCACCACACTACAGAACGTCATAGACATTGTCTCATGCCAACTGCTCAATACTGAGTAGCATTAGCCCATCTGATGGCTGAAGGAGGTGGGGTTGAGGGGACATTCAGCAGCAGATCCAAAATTAAACCATAGGTCTGCCAGCGTTCAAATTCTGCGCATGATCTCCACTTCCACGCTTCCTGTGCTACAATGCTCTCCCACTGAAGACTGTCACCACAAAGTTTGTGGCAGGAGGAGGCTCAAGTGTGACAGGAAGCAAGTTTTAAATTATTTTGTCAAAAATGAACTAATTGTAATAACGGGACAGAGCAGGAATGAGATGGAGGAAAAAAAAAGAGCATAATTCTTTTTAGCTGTATTTGTTTTTTTATATCCTTTAAGTATATTAGTTATAATGGACATAAACCTATAATCCAAGTAGATTGGTATGTTCATGTTGCATAAAATTCTTATAATTAAAAAAGATGATGGCAGCAATGTGCAAATTAAAAAAAAAAAACTGCTCACTATAAAGAAATGAATAGGAAGCCATACTTACAATAGCCTTGAGCAGAACCCATGCCAAGAGACAGAGAGGACATATTAGTATGAAGCAAACACAGCAGCCAATAGAAGGAACGATTTAGTAATTCATGAATAGAAGTAAAAGATATGCAATTTTTTTTTCAAAAATGTACATTTTTCTTTCTTCTATGTATGGTCTCCTCATTCTGTCTCGTTCTCTGGAGTTTAATATACTGTGGCTAGCCCAAATTATCCATATCACTGGATATAACAATGCTTTTCTGCTTCCATGCTAAAAATAAATGACATAAAAATAATAAAAAAAAATGTGCAAACCATCCTACTCTGACTAAGATCACATGAAAGGACTGTGGATTGTTAACAGAAATAGGCAGAAATTATGTTGTTCTGCAGAGGGGACCAGTTCCATTTGGCAGGTTGTTCTACATATTACATATTCCTGAGGTGCAACACTGTAGGTTAGTGAAAGAGAAAAGACAAGAACATCAAAAATGTGCTTGGAGAAAGAACTCCATCTTTGTTACCACACTAGCTATGTCTGAGGCATATCTTTAGAATAGGGAAGTTTCTATCTGAATATTTCTATATGTAGAAAGGAACTCTGAGATAATTTCCAAGATTTTAGTGTAAGACATATCATTACTATTTGCACAGTCAAATAAATTGACTAAATTATGCAAATAGTCCTGTATAAATTTGGCACCTCATTTCTAAAGCATGTAATGGCACACGGCATATTTAATTAGAATTAACAATAATATTTAAATCAGATTATTTTTTACAGAATAAATTTTATTTTTCATAGGATAAATCCCTTTACATATTTTTAAATACTAGTATGAGAAGTAAGTACAATGGTTATTGCCATAACACTAAGTGTGAGCTGGTACTGTATTGTATCAGTTTTATTTTCTATGTACCACTCACCCTCCCCTCCTCTCTACCATAACAAAGCAAAAAACATTTCCTTCCAACTTTTATAAACCAAAATGAAGCTTACATGAGCTGCAGAGTAAGGGATGTAGTGATTTCACTAAACTAAGGACTATTACCCCTTTTGGTCTTAGACAACTTCAGTCAAGCTTACTAATACCTTAACAAACTAATGAGGGTTTTCTTTTTTCTCTTTGTATTTTTGAATTCAAGATAAAAGCATGTTTAAAACAATAACCATGACATTTCAAACTAGTTGCGTTGTCATAAGGGAATAAAGTAGTTTAAATGTTGGTGACCGATTTAGGAATTGGGAATCTAAGATGGACTACCAAAACATTAATTTAAAGGACTGTAAAACCACCAGTCTTAGAAAGAACATGCTCCTGATCAATATAAGCTCAATATACATTTAAGAAACTCATAAAATTAGGTCATTGATGTGTTGTTTTATGTACTATGCTCAGATTTTAAGTAATATTCTGGTTTGAATACCCTTTATTGATTGCTTTTGCTTTTATTCCCATTTATGTTAATAAGGCTGGATGACATTGCATGTATTGTGATGTTTTAAAGTTGATTTCCAAAATTATTCTATCAATGGAAACAAACAACTCTATCAATGGGAACAAACAACTCCCTCAATGGGAACAACCAAACCAAACAGGTTTACACTCAAAGGATTTGTATCAAATGGCAATAGGAAAAACAGAAATAACTCAACTGGATGAAGCAATGTGCAGTTACTAAAATTTAGGCTTTCCCCCCTCTTTACATTATTTTTGAGCACTGTATAGTCATAGCTCTACCGTATACTATCAAGTGCATGTACAGAATACGCTCTATTTACACAGAGAGCAGGAGGTCCTACAAATGTAAATCCAATTTTTTTTTTTGATCAGAGGGGAAAACCCTATACTTTGAATACTATTAAATTGAAGATTTTAAAATATAAAGCCTCAATTAATTCATTACCTGATAGCTACATATGAACTTTTAATTCTTGGCAGAGTGAATCTTAAAAAGATTGGCGCTTTTAATAAGGAATGTTAGTAAAAGGAAAACAGTTTCTTTTCTATAACCAATATAATTATATACTATTTTCATAGAGATCATCATGTAAAAAACAAAAGTTAAAGGTTTTCTTGACATTGTAAAACTGTTGGATGGTGGTTGGGACGTATTAAAACTTACATCTTCTGCTTTTGAGCCTTGATCCTGTAAAGACTTTTGCAGTTCTTCAACTTGTGATTGTACTTCTAAAAGTCTCTGATTCACCAACCTAGAAATCAAATGTATATTTATTTTCCAAGTTCTGACTTAACTTCTGTCTTTTTCCTTAGGTTGTCCTATTGATTAGAGAGACAGTATAAATAGCTAAACAAAACCTCATGTTTTAGTAGCAGTAGCATATTTTACTGGTTATTTTTTGTGCTGTTTGAAATTTCTATGATGATTTGCAATGCAGTGTTTTGGTGGACATATTTTCTTTAATTGGAATATTTATGCATGTCTATCTGAAATGTAAACTATGAATGTAAATATATATATTTAATTCAAAATGTGTATCAGGCACTAATAAGATCAATACCAGTGTTAAAAGATGCCTGCAATCAAGGAATTTAGTGGGGAGGGAAAATGTAAGCAAATAAAATATGAGGTAAATACTTCAACACAGTGCATAGAGCATACAAGAGAAATGTAGACTACTCAGAGAAAGCAGAACTGCACCTAATTGTGTGGAGGAGTTAGGATAGGATTTCATGAATTGAGACTAGAACAATAAAGAAAACACTTATGTGGTTAAGGTCAGTAAAGAGATTTGACACAGAGAATTAAGTATGCCCAAAGTCATGAGCACAGAAAAATGAGAGGGTATAGTGAGTTTGGGAATCATAGGTAAGAATAAGTGAGAAGGCCTCCACCAGTGGCGCAGGCGGTTGAGCGCCACGCTGTGAAGCTGCCTGCAGCCTAGGCAGCGTGTGTTCGATCCTGGCCAGCCAGCAAGGGTCCCGCATGGCAGACCTCTCCTGTCCCGCCCACTGCTCCCCTCAGCAGTGTATTTCGTCAGTCTGCCTGTTGTGCTCCCTGCTCTGTCTCTGGTGAATCCTCTCACCCTCCCACACATCTGGTCTGTACCCTGGTTCTTGTGTAAATGAATAAATAAATCTTTAAAAAAAAAAAATAAGTGAGGAGAGAAAGAATGGCCTGTGTAAATGCAAAGGTATCTGTTATTTATCCTATTATAATCTGGCCTAAAATTAGCTGAAATGGAATAAACTAGCCAGTCTTGAATAATGCTGATTCTGAAGCTTGATTTTCATAATTCTCTAGGTCGTTAAAATGCAGCAAACCAGTTTGGTTTCATAGGTCTTGGGTGATGATGAACATTTGCAAAAAGAGAGAAACATGATCTGGGTTGAGAACAGAAGATGTTATTAAAAAGAAATAAAATATATTGAAAAGGCAAAAGAATGAAAAAACCCACAGGATTTCAGTTTGAGCTACCAAGAACCATTCACTGAGGAAGGGGATATAAGAGGAAGAAGAAAGGAATATAAAGGATCTGATTTTGTATTTGTTGAAAACTAAGTACTTGGAGAAATCTGTCAAAAAGCCAACTAGCTACATCTGAAGCACAGAGAGGTCTGAGTTGAATGAACAGATTTGGGAACCATCAGGAGTTAACTGAAGTCATGAGCATAAATAATATTGACTAGAAAGAATGTGAAGGGTGGAAGAGGAACAAAGATGGTCCACGGCAGATCACCAACCTAAGGGTAGACAGAGGAATCTCACCCTGGAGAACAATCAGAGAATTAGGAGAAATATAAGAGAGGGGTTTTGCTGAAATGAAATAAAAAGTTTTAGGGAGGGTGAAATGATCAACAATAAATGGAACAGAAAGATGTAAAAAGTCTCCAATGCTCTCACTGGAAAGGCCAGTTAAGAGATGACCAGTTGTTCAAGTAAGAAATACTTTAGTGAAATGGTAGCAGTAAAAGCCAAACTGCCCCCAAAAAAGGACAAAACAGGGCAATGAATACTTAGAATCCAAATAATCAGATAATTCAATGTGAAATATTTTACTCAACGAGTTATAAGAAATTCTTATCAATATTCTGTAATTTAGTTAGAATCACAACCTAATCGATAACAACTGATGTGATTCATATCAAGGAACAGAAAAGATAAATGCTTTTTCAACCATGAAGAATTATATAAACACCGTATTCAATATGGAGACAGAGGTATATACATTACTACTGACACTGTAATTTTATTCCACATTTCAGAAAGCAATATGGAAATAGACACAAAACTTTTTCAACTATACATCTCAGTGATTTTTGAAATTAACTAGTCAACAGATACTGTAAGTCTACTAGGTGGTTAAATGTCATAAAATATAATCAGTCTATAACAAGATGTTCCTTGGAAGGAACTGAAAACAATTCAAATGTCCAGTAATGGGCAACAAAGAAGCAAACATAGTAATGTAACAGTTAAAAATGTGAACTCCTTGCAAATGTGTGCAGTGTGAATGCAAACACACACAAACACACAAAAGTATGAAGCTATACAAATATATGTGTATAGATATGAAAAAAGTTCACCTAACAAAATAAGAGGGTTATAATGCTCCCTCACTGGGTTGTTTAGAGAATTACCTAAGATAAAATATAAAGTTATCCAGCATAGGACCTGCTCCAAAATAGGAGCTCTATAAAGGCAAATCACTGCTTCCTTCCTTCTCCTCCTCCAGGAGTGTATTTAGTTGACATTTTAATCAAAGTCTAATAATGTATAGTTTTGAGAGGTATAAGCGAGAAAGTGAGCTTGAAATCATGATATACTCTGAGAGGTAAGCGAACAAGACCACAAATACTTTGTAAAAACCCCCTGAGTGATTCTGTTATGCCTCTTCTCTTAACCCTTTATTGTTTGAGGGTCAATAGGTATTATTATTTAAAAAGAGACTAATATATTGGGGAAAACTAATTGGAAAGGACTATGGAGGTTTATTACAAATCTTTCCTTCTAACATGATATATAGGTAGTAAGCAAACTATGTTTAAGGTCATATAGTTAAAAAAACTCAATGGAATTAAAATACAGGTTTCCTGGTGTTAGTATAATGCTGTAAACTAGTATGATAACAAGGTAGGGACAAAATAATATACTTATAAAACTTATCAAACACAATAGTAAATTGTAAACAGCTATAAATAATAGAGGGCTTTGAGGGGTAATTACTCATCTATATACATGAGTATTGAATAAATGTCAACTAGTTATTCTATTTCTGATGAGAAAGAGCAATGGTTACAATGACTGTGCAAAACAATGCAAAGTATTACAAAAGGAGTTGTAGGTGTTGATTCACTGCAAAAAAAAAAGGGGGGGGAGGGGAGGAGACTTTAGAGGGCCAAAATAAAGCCCAGAGGCCACAGGGGAGGCCCTTTTTTTAAAGATTTATTTATGCAACTAGAGCCCATGGTACAGGCCAGAGATACGTGGGGTGAGAGGATTCACCAGAGACAGAGTGGGGAACAGAACAGACTGACCGAAATACACTGCTGAGGGGAGCAGAGGGTGAAACAGGAGAGGTCTGTTAGCCCATGTGGGTTGTTCCCTGGCAGACCCAAACTCCTGCTGTAGAGGCTGCGAATTGCTTCATAGTGCAGTGCTTAGCCCCTTGTGCCACCAGGGAGGCCCCCCCATTTCTTACTTTTGCTAGGTATTTAAAAAATTGTTTATGCTCCTAAGAATTGATAAAAAGTTTTTCTTCTATTTATGTTTGACCATGCTCTAATTATTACTCTGGTATTTAGACTGTTTGCTGATTCTACTTCAGCAACTTTAAAAATTAAAGCTTCAGGAAGAAGGACAGGAAACATAAAATTGTCCTAACAATTTTGACTCATAGACTGACTCAGATCTGGGAAATGCCAAGTCAATCAGACTTAATAAACAAAGAATTTATAATATATGGTAAACTATAAGACTTAATATTTAAAATGTCTATCTCTCAAATATGAAAGAACATCACAACACTAAGAAAAAGGAATGATACCTTACATTTCGCTTCTATGAAACATTTCCAGAAAGAAAAAGAACCAAACAATAGTCACAACAAATATAAAAGCAGCCCTTACCATTGTTACTAGAATAAGCTATTGCTTCTAAAGTAGCTTAGAATGACTGCATAATGCAATATGATAAAAAAGACTTACAAGCAAAAATGTGATTTCTGGGTTAAATTTGTAGGTTCTAAAGTCTCAGCATAATTTAATCATTCATAGGATGAGTAATTTCCTTTTGGGGAATCACAAGAAACAACAAATTTGGAAAAAAAGTTCAATCAATTTTATTATGATGGATCCTACTGTTTTCCTTTTCCTCATACCAACCAACAGATCCTTTGAAAGAGTAGCCTGTAAAACAGGGTACCTTTTATGTTAAGAGGTATTCATTATGTCTAATAATGAACATAAATTGAAATTGTTACAAAAGCCTAAATTAATGATTAAATATTGTTAATTCTGTATTTTTAACTAGATCAAGGGAAAATGCAGGGCTTTGCTATTATATTCCTTGAAGAAATAAAGAGGGAAAGGTTTCCAAACACATTTTAGGAGGCCCATATCACTTTAATACCAAAAGCAAATAAGGATATCACTAAAAAGAAATCACAGACCAATATCCCTGATAAACACATATACAAATATCTTTAACTAAATCTTGGCAAACTGAATTCAACAACACATAGAAAGTATCATATATCATGATCAAGTGAGATTTATTCCAGGGACACAGGAATAGCTTAACACCCTCAAATGGATCAATGTTATTCACCACATCAACAAAAGGAAAGACAAAAATCCTATGATCAACAGATACAGAGAAAGCATTTGACATGATTCAACATCTATTTATGATAAAGTCTCAAATAATGGAGACAGATGGGAAATATCTCAACATAAAGGCTTTATATTAGAAACACATACCCAACATCATAATGGTGAAAAACTGAATGCTCTTCTGCTAAGATCAGATATAAGACCACGATGTCCACTATCCATACTATTATTCAACATAGTATTGGAAATGATAGCTAGAGCAACTAGGCAAGAGAAAAAATAAAAGGACTACAAGATGATAAAGAAGTAAAACTATCATTATCTGCAGAGGACATGATAGACACAGAAATCCCTAAAAAATGATTTGAAACAAATTAGTACAGTCAATAGCAAGCTATCAAATCAACATGCAGAAACTCATTGCATTCCTATATGCAAATAACAAACTAGAAAAGAAAGAAATCAAGGAAATAATCACAAATACAACTGCATCAAAAAGAATTAAATATCTGAAATAAACTTAACAAAGGAGGTTAAAGACCTGTACAATGAAAACTGTAAGACATTAGAAGAAATCGAAGGCGACACAAAGAAATAGAAAGATATTCTTGCTCATGGGTTAAAAGAATTAACATTGTCAAAATGTCCATCTTAACCAAAACAATATATTACTCAGCTCCTAAAAAAGATGAAATCCCGCCATTTCCAACAACACGGATAGTACTGGAGTTGGTTATGCTAAGCAAAATAAATCAGGAGAAAGACAAATACTGGACAATTTCACTCATGTTTGGAATATAGAGAAACAAAGCAAAGGGGGAAAAAAGCTAACACAAAACAAAACTCTAGAAATCTGAATATGGGCAGAGTGGGGAGAAGGCAACAAGGGAGGAGAGGGGTCAAATGGAATATGGTAGAGGATTATGGATGCCTTGGTGGTGCATGTGGGTGGTCGATGTTCTGGAGAAGTGTGAACTTTCACCCCTAAAACATATACAGTATTGTAAACCACAGTTATAGCATTAAAAAAAAAAAAAAAAGGGAAGAAAAGGAGGAGGGTGGAGAGAAAGAAGGAGGAAGGAGAAAGAGAGGAATGCTATTATAAAACAGCACTTAATAGCAAGGACAAGCAAGTCTGTCCTTAAGTATTCTATTTCTTAAAGTGAAATCGAATAACACATTGTCACATTTCAAAATACAACTTCAGTTGCTATTTAAAGGAATCAGAAACCAAGGCAAACAGAGAAAGACAGCAGCTAACTGCTTCAGTTAGTATCCATTCCTACCTATTCTCTGTCTCCAGTTCACTCGTGCGTAGCTTTGCATCATCTAGAAGGTTCTGCAACAAGGCAATTTTTTCATTGTCTGAACCCTCTTGGTTAATTTTTAACATCTTATTCTCATGCTGAAGACGAATAAGTTTCTCCCTGAATGAGCAAAACAAAAACTTATCATCTGGTATATTATTAATACAATATAGCTAACAAAAATCAGCTATGCACAGTTACAGATTTAATATACAGAATAGAAATGAAAAGGTACTTGAAAAGAAGTTAGTTCCTAATGCAACTGGGTAAGACATTACATTTCAGGTCTTAAGTATGTGTTCTTAAGGATGAATAAAGATAAAAGAAAGTCCAAATGTTATGATTTGTAATGAAAGAGGTTTCCAAATTCCATTCCTTTTCTGATTTTAAATATTTAAATGATGAATGCATTTATATATTTGTTTTTTGATTCATCAAAAAACATTTTAATGCTATGCTCTAAAATTACCAATCAGTTGGTGGCAAAATATTCAATGAATGCCTTCAAGATATGCAATCTGCCCATTGTTATAGATAAGTAAAATTATATGCTTATAAAAAGTCAAATATTCAGAATCTACTTATTGGACTGCATTTGTTTTGGGCTCCTTGTGATATGTTAAAGCTTACAATAAAGGATGTTAAAAGCAGCAGTGACAAAAATTTACTGCAGGGATGACATAATTGAGTATTAGCTTGTAAGAAGATAAAGTAGGAGATATACTTGTTAAAGTTATAGTTCATTGTTAACATGATTTAGAGGCTCCCATGAAGAGATTACTAGCAGACCAGACACTGTAAAAAGTTGTGTTTCTCATGGAAAAAGAAAAAAGAACAAACACCAAAATGGCCTTTTATTTTGTCAACACCACAAATCTTATAAAGTGCTTTTATTTTTGCTATTAAAAAGATGAAAGTCTGTGGCTCAATTAAAGCAATTACATAGAACTTGATATATTTTGTATATGGACAATGACTTCATCATATTTTTCAATTATGCAATAGAACACAATCATTGCAGGAAAAAAAGATTAAATAAAAAGAAAACACAAACTCTCTATAACCTTAAGGTGCAAAATAATTACTGCTGAAATATAGCCATCTAATTCTATGCATATATACATGAAAACATTTAAGTAAATGGATCACAGTATATCCTACATTGGTATCCACTATTTATGCTTAAAATTTCCCAACTTTTCATATTACTAAATATCATGCTTTAATATTTTATTTTATTTTTTTTTTTTTTTGTGGGACCCTCGCCAGCCACCGGGGAACGAACCGGCGTTGCAGCCCAGAGGTCAACTGCTGCGCCACCAGGGGAGGCCCCCATGCTTTAATATTTTAAATTAAATGTTAAAATAGACAGATGAATTGTTATTTAGCAAATGCCCAATCATTAGACATTTGCATTGTTACCAATTTTCAGCTGTAACATGTTAATAATAATCAGCTTCAGAAATATACCTTTATGTATATTCTTGGTTATTTCCTTAACATTAACTTGCAAAAAAAGTTAATTTTGGGGTAATAAGTTAGGCATATTTTTAGACAATAGACACATTCTGATAAACTGCTCAGAAGAAAAATTGTACCAGTAAAGTTTATTACTTCTAGTTTATGAGGTTTTTTTCTACATGCTTACATCAGTGAAAATGATCACTTAAAATAGATTTTTTTTGAGAAAAAGAAAAATACCGGATGGTCTCACTCATAGCAGGAATCTAGAAAACTTAAATAAGGGACCAGGAAAATGAATAACTATAAGAAAGTGAAAATCAAAATCAACAAAAAACTGTGAACCAGAGACACTTTTTGGGGGCGGGAGTGGGAGGGAGGGATTGGGGTCAAAATGGGGGGGCTGCAATTGTATGGGGAATATAAAAATAAAATTTATTATTTAAAAAAAAAATAGATTTTTTTTTTTGTAAGCCTAAGAGGCAAATTTCATTATGGATTAAAAATATTAACCACTGTCTATTACATCTGTTGCAAAATTTTAATTTCTTATATTTAATATTGACCACTAAATTTACCATTTAATTTATCATTTCATTATCTTGATATCTCTTCTGACAGACAGCATAAGTTGTTGAGTCATACTCAAAAGAGTCATTTTATTTGTTGTGTCTTTATCATTATTCTTTTTTCCTTAGTTTAAAAAAGGCAACTCTATTATCCATAAGCGTCTTAAAAGTTGTTTTTTTGGACAATCACTTTCTTATAAATATTCATAAACAGTAAGTACTCATTTATTCAACAAATTTTACTGGTTCAGAAACAAAGTACTATATTAGATGGCAGAAAAGTAAAAGGTACACAAGATACTTTCAGAAGTGGTATCTAACTCCTTTTGCTTTTCTTAAATAACTGCCAACAACAAGTTAACAGTCTTCATTTATTCAACAAGTATTTGAATGCCTACATCAGCTTTTAAAATTTATAAAACTCTTACACAGCATTATTTTACTTAATAACCCCAAGAATGCTATGAAGAATCAAGGCCTATGTCAGTTTATAAAGGGGCAAATAAATCAACCTTGAGGATTAATCATTCTTCTTCTGCTAGATATTTAGTGCCTCTTCTCCAATTTTTACATTCTTTTTCAAATTTTTAACTCATATACAAAACCAGGTACATACTGAAATAAATGTAATTTTCAAAATGCTATCTATGACTAAGTAAAAACATAAGGTACTGTTAAAGGAAGAGTAGAAAGGAGGGGAGATTACTTTCCTCTCTATTGTTTTATATCTTTTTCAAGGCATTCCATGAGTTAACAGACAAACCTTAGTGACTACTTATTTTGCAGGCCTGTAGCTAAGCATAAACTTTCTTTGTCCTAGGGAGGAGTGGTTTTATTGCTAAAAGTCTGCTGAAGATACAAACACTGATATACTAATTTGCTAGGTATGTGTGAAAAAACATTGTGCAACCAACGTGAGAAAAATCAAGTCTCTGTTGAGCCAAATGAATAAAGTTTTGGTATGCTAAAAATATGGAAATCTAAAATGGAGTTCATATTGAAAGTGTTAGTAATAAAGAATAAGAAATGGATCCCCTTTACATTGTAAAAGGAGTGAAAGTTCTCCCAGAATATTGTGCAGTGTGACTATAAATGCCATTTTCTCCTTACTTGATTTCAGGCGTAACAATTTCTGCTGCCAGGCTATCTGAAGATTCCTGACTTTCCAGAGGCATTAACCCTATAAATATACAAATATGAATGTGAGGTTAAAAGACAACATTATCTTCCTTAGTTTCTATATGAAACCCTACTTTAGTATTTTTTTTAAGATTTATTTATTTATGCATACAAGAACCGGGGTACAAGCTAGAGTTGCGGGTTGGGGTATGTGTGAGAGGATTCACCAGAGACAGAGTGGGGAGCAGAACAGGCAGAATGACTGAAATACACTGCTGAGGGGAGCAGTGGTGAGTCAGGAGAGGTATGCTGCACCATGTGGGTGGCTCCCTGAACAGCCAGGGGATCGAGCTTGTGCTGCAGAGGTTGCTGATAGCTTCATAGTGCTATGCTTAACCCCTTGTGCCACCACAGAGGCCCTTTAGTATTAATTCTAACAGCTAAAGTCTTTTTGGGAAATGAAAAAATGTCACAGTTGCCTTATATTATTACCATTACTTTTTAAACATTTTTTAAGTGTAAAACTGTGTGGCAGTAAACATGTTCACTATGTTGCAGAACCATCCCTACTATCTATTTATAAAATCCTTTCCTTACCCGAAATATAAATTCTCTAACTATTAATCAGTATCTCCCCATTCCTTTTTCCTTAGCCTCTGGTAACCGTCCTCCTACTTTCTGTCTGTCTTCAATGAATTTGCCCATTTTAGATGCTGCATATACATACACGGAATCATAAATATTTGTCTTTTTGTGTTCGGCTTATTTCATTTAACAATGTTTTGAAGATCCAACCATGTTGCAGCACTTAACAGAACTTTGTTACTTTTTATGAATGAATAATATTCTATTAATATGTATACACCACATTTTGCTTATCTATTATTACTCATTTGATGACAAACAGTCTAAATCTTTAAAGCAAAATTGCTAGGTCAAGAATATATATATATGGTTAAGACATAAAAAAATATATATGTGTATTTATAGATAGCAAAGAAACAAAACAAGAGATGGCTTCTCATTTCTTGATGACATAAGAGCTGAGAATAAAAGCATTAAAGTTCAGGCTAGATTCTTAATATTTTGAAAAACGTATGCAGAACTGACTAGATATATAAAGATTTCCAAGAAGCCATAAGTATTCACTTACGATCCAAAGTGATAGTAATTTTTTTTTGGTGAAGACAATTAAAAGACATAATTTTCTTTAGCTGACCTTGGTTATTTGGAATAGAGATAATAACTTTAGGCTACCTGAATTAGGGTTTGCCAGACTGGTCTAGAAATAGGTCAGTAGGATAGGAATGTTAATGGTGATGAGAAAATTGTTAAGATGGTTGACATGCAGGGTGGGTAGGCTGGGAAATGAGGCCAGAGGAGTTTTGCTCAATAGACAATGAAGTGCAGGATAAAGGTCAAAGTGGAAGTGAATACGCAGATCTGGCAGGAGGAATGAGGAGGAGAGAGGAGGTTATAGTCAGAGGGAAAGAAAAATTGCAGGTTCAAGTAAGTGAAGAGCTGAGGACTGGTTATTAGAGTGGGAATGAGTAACTGTGGGGCTGTACCGGCCCTCAGTCAGGCTCCCACCTCTATCATGGAAGGAAAAAGTGCTCAAGGGTACACCTTGAGCTAAGTGCTGCTCCTTTCCTGTAAGAGCAGTTTTCCTCTTTGGACATAAATCCCTTAATGGATTGATATCCATACCTCCCATTTTAGGTGGGAAAAAAAAAAATCACTGAATTAGAAAGGTGGATATACTTTTAAAGAGGTCATGAGAAACTGCAGAATATACCTTTTCAGGTTAATTATTAACAGATGATTTAGCAAATATTTTATGATTTTGACTTAATTTAACTCAACTATTTAAAGATAGTTAAAATAAAAGTAGGCAAGTAAATCCTGTGCCATAACTATAGCCTAGTTGCCATAAAACCTAGGTAAGATTTCCAAATTTATACCAGCCTCAGAGCCATTTCACCAACTTTTAAATATTGAGCTATTGGTGCAATCATCTTAACATGAATCTTGTATTTTTACAGATATGTTAGAAATAATCTTTTTTTTTATTTTATTTTTGTGTAGAAGAATTGGGGTATAGGCCAGGTGTGTGGGGTGAGAGGATTCACTAGAGACAGAGTGGGGAGCAGAACAGGTGGATTTACTGAAATACACTGCTGAGGAGAGCAGCAGGCAAGACAGGATAGGTCTGCTATGCCACGTGTGTAACCTCCCTAGCCAGGATGGAACTCAGACCTTAGCTGTATAGCACTAGGACTTAACCCATAGGCCACGAGGGAGGCCCATGAAATAAATAATCTTGCTTGGGCTTTGGAAATGTTTTTACCTTGAGTTGTGAGCTGCCCTTCTTGAGCCTGTACACAACGAAGTTCTTCAATGGTTTCCTTCAGAGAATCCCTTTCTGTTCTTAACCTCTGGAGGCACATTAAAAACAAAGAACATTTAGCTTCAAGTTTTAATAGCTTACTCACCAGTGAAGTTTGTCTTTCCTAATAGAACAATAAACAGCACAGAACATGGACATATTTTAACTTTTGATATTCTATAGAAAGATCACAGAGGGAAGAGACTGTATTATTTTTGTTCCCATTTAACAATACAGAGTATCTACTATGAGCAAGGCAATATGATGTCTATTGTTAACACAAAACAAACTATCTACTCCACCTTTAACAATAAGTACTTTCTCACTTAAATAACATTCTTTTCATTAAACATAAGAGATCAAACAATAAAGATGTTAAATATTCATAAATCTTGACAAAGTAAAAATATTTTGAAAGATTCAAAGTATACTAAACAACAAAAAGAAACTGTTTTCTATATTAATCATACAGAAAATAGAAAAGTGACAAATTTATAGAAAGTTACAACCAGCAATGTAAAAGAAGCAAAGTTGTAGAAAAGATATGTTAATGTAAAAGAAATTAGTGTAGAAGTGAAAACTTTTTTTTAATCTTTTATTTTAGGTCTATTTCTGAAACACAAATGTAAATTTATAATATAAACAGTATCTCTAAATTTTTAATTTATAAATAGAAGGGCTTAATGCAACATGAATTATATATCACGAATTAAAACATCAACTAAATATCATTATCTTAATTTTAGCAGTGCTCAAAAAACCAAAATGCCTAATATATGTATACTCACATCCTTTTCTTTTTGAAGACTGTCAACTTTTTCTTTTAGCCGCTTATATTCAAAATCTAATTTATCTGCTTTCTTTGATTCTTCAGATAATCTATTTTGTAGTTCTACTACCTAATACAGAAAGGTATCATTAATTTTTAAAATTTGAAACGTTAGAAAAAGAACATCATTTCCTTCTAAAAGTCTACAAAAACTATCCTCTACCCAAATACTCAAGAAAATGTATATAATCTAACAGTAAAACCCAATGGAGAGTACTAGGAACAAAAATCTACCTAGACAGTAAGGTTCTTTAACCAGCTCATCCAGAGTAACACTGCTCAAAATTATGAAAGATCCCACATAACTTCTATTTCCTGTAATAGTGAAAGATTACAGGAAATCTTGTAATACTGAAGATCAGGTAGTTTGAGATCCTTTTAATATAAAACAGAAGAAATGCTAAGGGAAATAAAGTACAATTGCATAGCTAAGTTTACAAGAGTTAAGGGAAATCCTCAGAGGCTGAAACAAGATCATGAAGTATCTGTGGAAGTAGAGTGAAGTGTTAATTGCCAATTCCAGCAATCTAGAGCTCTGAATATAATAGGAGACAGGTAATTGTTAAACCATCTTGGGCTCTAAAATGTGGTGAGTAAACAGGGTTAAGAAAAATATCCATCAGCTGGAAAAAATCAGTAAGGCAACTTGTCTGTCTTAAAGTGAGTGCTCTGGGTTTCAAAATGTGTAACTTAAAAATCTTTAACCATGACCTGCAAATATATGGATGTGAGTTTGAATTTTTACCACATGCCTTGCCTGACAAATATGAAGCTAGTAAGTGATTTAAAGTAGTCCTGGTTGGTGATGCTGTGGGAAATATGGCATAAACAAAACACTCACAGAAACAGCCCAGGCTCCCCAGTGCCCCAAAGATAAAGATGAACCAAATAAAGAAGCAAAATCCAAAGTTACAAAGGCCATGAAGAAATAAGCCATCATGAACAATGATTAGCAGAAAAACATTAACAGAAGCAACAAAACAGTAGGATAAGACAGCCAAGGATTTCAGATTGGAGTCCTCAGATATAAAATACCAGGTTTAATACTTCAAGAAAATAAAAAATCTAAATTATGAAATGAATGAGAGACTATTAAAAATAATCAGAGAGGTTTGAAAGGGAAAAACTTGCAGAAACTCATCATTGAAAAAGAAGTGTATCAAACTCCAGATAGTAATATACAGATTTATGTGAAGCAAAGCAAGTCAGAATTATGAAGACAAATGTTGGACATTCACATGGCAGATGATTCCACAAAGCAATGTACTTTAAAAAAACTTGAGGACACTAATATACAAAGTAAGGTTTCTGAGGCTAAGAGGGGGAGAGGAGTAATATAAAGCCAAAGGGGTAGAGGGGCCTCCCTGGTGGCGCAGCGGTTAAGTGCTGGGTTGCGAAGCTGCCTGCAGCCCCCGATGCTGGTTCGATCCCTGGCTGCTCTCCTGCCACCGGGGGAGGGTCCCACATGGCTCGCAGACCTCTCCCTTCAGATACACCCTGAAAATACTCAAAATCCAGCCATCCAACTAGACTTATTCTATAGTAAACTGGGGTGGCTGATATTTTTCTTTTTTCACTTATGTGTATTTCCTAATTTTTCTATAATAATTTTTCTATAACAAAAAACAAAAAAGAGCAGATACACTTTGAAAATACACAAAATCCAGCCATCCAACTATACTTATTCTATAGTAAACTGGGGTGGCTGATATTTTTCTTTTTTCACTTACGTGTATTTCCTAATTTTTCTATAATAACATGTTAAGGAAGAAAATGGCTACAAAACCTAAAGAAGTCCTTATAGAACACTGATAAAATATTTCAAGTATTCTGCATGAAATTAATAAGAAAATGAATCAATGAAATCTATTTAAAGCTGTATTTAGTTGTAGTAAAGAACACACATGCTAATTAAGAAGGAAAAAAGATATGGAGAAGAGACAAAGAAGCTGCTTTCATCTGTATACTGTATGACAACAGAACCTAGAAACATAATTAAGGCAAAATGAGAATTTGGAAAAAGTTGTAATACCAATATATAAAACCCATCTTAATTTACATAAATGAGCAACAAAGAGAAAATGGTATATTTTCTTTTTATATATTTACAAAAACACAAAGAAACTGAGTAAATGTAACAAAATGTGTGCATGGATTTTAGAAGAAAATTTTATAAAATTTAATGGAAATACATTAAAGACCTAAATAAATGGAAAGCTATTATATTCATTGATAGAAACATTCACTGACAGAAAGACGTCAACTCTCTTCAGATTGATGAACAGAGTCAATGATATTTCAATTCTCAAAGGTTCAGAGTTTAAAGAGAAATAAAAGGTCTAAGGGGTAGATGCTTTTGAAAAAGAACAAGGTATAAGTATCACTAGCACCAAACAACATTACTAAAAAAAATCCATAGATAGTAAGTGTGGTATTACTGTAAGAATAGACAAATCAATGAAACAGAAAAGTGTGCCCAGAAACAAACCCACGTATAACACAGAAACTTTAGATATATGATAAGGGAGAATTGCAGATCATTAAAAGAGAGACTATTAAAAGGTACTAGGACAACTAGATGTCCACACAGACAAAGTATCAAGTAGATCCTCATCTCACACCTATACAAAATCAGTTCCCTGTGGATTCAAGATGGAGATGTGTAAAACAAGCTTTAATTCTTTGTAAAGATAACATTCTTATGTAGGAAAATATTTCTTAAATTAGACATAAAAAGCACATGTCAAGAAGATATTTAAAGGCCTCCTTGGTGGCGCAAGGGTTAAGATGCAACCTATGAGGCTGTCTGCAGCCTCTACAGCATGAGTTCGATCCCCTGGTTGGCCAGGGAGCAACCCACATGGTGCAGCAGACCTCTCCTGACTCGCCCGCTGCTCCTCTCAGCAGTGTATTTCAGTCAATCTATCTGTTCTGTTCCCCACTCTGTCTCTGGTGAATCCTCTCACCACCTCTCCCCACGCTCCGCATCTCTAGCCCCCCACACCTCTGGCCTGTACCTCAGCTCTTGTATGCATAAATAAAATAAATCTTTGAAAAAAAAAAAGAAGATATTTGAAGTTCATTATGTCATACTCTTCAATCTCAAAAAAAGTAAAAGGACAGGTCATACACTGGCAAGAAATAAATGCAACATACATAAAAGACAAAAGATTAGTATCAAGAATATATAAAGAATTTTTGAAAATCATTAAGGAAAATAATATAATTTTTAAAATGAATGAAAGATAAAAATAGGCAATTCACAAAAGAAAATATATTTGTATTAGGGTAATATAAGGTATAATCATTAGAAGACACCATTTCACATCCATTCAAATAAATGCATGAAAATTTCATAAATATATGGAATTTCTTCCTCAGAGTATTTTTATTTAATTAGATGCTGCTATATTGTTTTCCAAAGTGAATTTGTATGAATTGCTATTGTTCTTCTACATCATCACCAACACAGAGTGTTGTCAAACTTGGTGGCATCTCTTACAATATAAAAAAATTGTTGAAATATTCTATACAATTCCTTCAACAGGAAAATGCATAAACTGTGGGATGGTAACTCAGTAAGTAGTACAAATGAATGGAATAAAGTTATAACTAATATATCTCACAAATATACTACTAAACAAAGTAAATTATAGAAGGGAACTTTCACTCCATAACTTTCACTTTATTTTATTTATTTTTTTATTTAAATTTTATTTTTATATTCACCATACAATTACAACCCCCTTATTTTGACCCCAATCCCTCCTTTCATAACTTTCACTTTATATAAAGTTTTGAAACATGTCCAAAATGTTATAAAGTGTTAGGGATAGACACATGTATATAAAAAGAATAAAGAGGAACATGGTAATGAAAAAAAAAACCCAGCATAATGGTTATTGTAATGAGGAAGGGAAGAATATATTTTATTTCTTAAGCATGGATACTTATTATATATATTTTTTAAAGGTTCTATTTATTCATCTTTGCAAAGAAGAACTGGTGTCCAGGCCATAAGTGTGAGGGGTGAAAGGATTCACCAGAGACAGAGTGGGGAACAGAACAGATGGATTTACTGAAGTACACTGCTAAGGAGAGCAGTGTAAGACAGGAGAGGTCCGCTGTGCCATATGTGGGTTAGCTCCCTGGGTGGGGACTGAACTCAAGCTGTAGTGGTGATAGCGCTGAGACTTAATCCCTTGGCCGCCAGAGAAGTCCCTATATTATTCTTTTACTTTTGTGAATTTCTTAAGTATTACATAACAAGTTAATAAATAAAAAACAATAAAAGGGTCTGCTAAGAGACCAACTAATAACCTTTTTAAGCCAGAAAGAAAAAGAATGGTCTCACTCATAGCAGGAATTTAGAAAACCTAAATAAGGGACCAGGAAAAAGACTAATTACAATAAAGTAAAAATCTAAATCAACCAGCAGCTATAAACCAGGGACACACTACGGGGAGGGCGGAAGGGGGAGTAGGAGAGATTACGGTCAAAATAAGGGGGGTGGGAATTGTATGGGACTATAACCAAAATGAAAATGCATACATCGCACAAAAATGAAAAATGATGTAAAAATAAAATGATGTAAAAATATATAAAATAAAAACAAAACAAAACAAAACAAAAAGATAAGAACTTTACTTTTTATAAAGAAAAAACCAGAATACTATAAAACAAAAGTCCATAATTTTGGGTAAGCCATGGTATTATAGTTCTAGAAAATGTCATTAAGAAACTTTGTCACTACTCTTTTACCTGTCTCTTATATGTCTCAAGTTGACTTCGGGCTGCATTGGCTTTTCTTAACTCTTCCTCTAGACTGACAGTGTTCTGCATATACATAGTATTCTTCTCTTCTAAGAGTTTAACCTGCCGCCTCAAATCACCAAGGTCTTCTAGCTTCTTTTTATATGATTCCACTTGACCTTCTAGTTTTGACACTTTATCAGAAGAATGTCTAGAAATAAGACAGGAAATCAGAAATTAGAAACACATCCACAGTTGTGAAAGCTATTTCAGACAGTGCTAAACCAAGAAGAATTGCCAGGAAACCACACATTTTAATGAAATTATAAGACCAAAGGTGATTCCAGATTAATTTTGTGCTCAGCTTAAAAAAATTACCAAAATTACAGCAATACGTACAATGGAGAACATTATACAAGGAAAGCAAGTACAACAAAGTAGTCAGTAGAACCACATGTAGCAGAAAAGCAAAAATTGTGCAGAGTCCAAATGATCTGACAATTAGAACGTTATCTAGGAACAGCTGTTTCAGTGAAGCAGTGGGGGCAGGTGATGGCAATTTTAGGGCGTTGAGGAAAGAATGCAAATATTACCTTGTGTAATCTAAATTTGTTTTGGAGGGAAGGAGAGTTCGTGAGTCTCTTTGTAAGATGACAGAGCCTTAAAAATATAAATAAAAGCTAAGGAGGGAGATTCAAAATGGGAAAAGCAATGATAAGAGATGTTAACACTGTCCCTGTGTAGGCAAGAAGGGTTGAAACCCAGAACACTGAAGAAGGAATCCGCAGTGGACAGAAGAGCAGGAAGTCTAGAAGAGCAAAAAAGAAAAGATGGGAAGTTAGGAGATACAGGAGATATGGCCAAGAAGCGTTCTACAGTTCATGGCCTCTTTCCTTGATGCAGGAGGAGACAAGATCACTCTCTGAGCCTAAGCTGGCAGAGGTGTGGTGCAGTGTGCATTCAGGTGAGAAGGTCGTGGAAGTGTGTAACAGCTCTCAAAGGAAAGGCAGACATAGCTACTTACTGAGGTGCAGCAGGATGGTGGACCTCAGTAAGAACCCAGTGAAAAGTAAAGATCATCAATGTGCAAAGAGAACAAAACTTCAGCCTTATGTGATTTTCTCAGTATTGAAGAGTAAACATCTAAAATGCAGAAGGTTGGAATGATGCAACTGAAGACAGGAAACTATGTAAGTGCAGTGGTGGAAGAACAAGGGGGCAGGAGTAAGGTGCCTGGGGAGAAAAGAGTGGAGATAAGATAGAAGGACTCAGCAGTGCAGCCACATGGGGCTGTGACAGCAGCTGAAACACAGGAAGACCAAGTGACAAGAGAAATCAAAATTTTGAAATGGAAGTGGTAAGAAAAAAGTTCCAGAACTGAGTATAAAGTAATGATCACAGATGAATTTCTATTTAACAGATATCTACAAAACAGCTGCCAAACATGACATCAGGTGTTTACAAATATACATTCACTTCCTCCCAATCAGAGGTGGGTGTGTGCACTGTTCACAGATGACAAACAATTAATAAAGATTAAATAAATGATAACACTGAACTCTGAACCTAGGCAGTCTGCCTCCTGGATACCCTGTGATAGTCAGGGTCCCAGAATCTCTAATTTGGTGGGAATGACAGGGCTGAGATCCTACAGAGCAGGGAGGACAACCTACCTGAGAACATCTATTTCATCTTTGAGGGACTGGGCTTCATTTGCTAGAGTGGTCAGCTCCTCGTTCTGCTGCCGAAGCTCAGAGAGCTCCTTCTCTAGCTCCTCACATCGTATGCGGTAGTCGTCCTTGGCTGCCTCCAGTCTGTCCCCAAACAAAACAGACCGAGAGGCTGAGAGATGATTTACTGTACAGTAATTTTCTTTAGTATAGTATAAGGAGGGCCTCCCTGATGGCACAAGGGGTTAAACACCGCACCATGAAGCAATCCATAGCCTCTGCAGCATGAGTTTGATCCCCAGCCAGCCAGGGATCCACATGGCGAAGCAGACCTCTCCTGACTTGCCCGCTGCTCCCCTCAGCAGTGCATTTCAGTCAGTTTGCCTGTTCTGCTCCCCACTCTGTCTCTGGTAAATCCCCTCACCTCCCGCATCTCTGGCCTATACCCCAGCCCTTGTATGCATAAATAAATCTTAAAAAAAAAAAAAAAAGAATAGTACAAGGAAATTAAAAAACATGAGAATGATGAACTCTCTTGAATTTGTTCCCTACTTTTATGACTTTTTTTTAACGATTCATTTTTATTCATGCATACAAGAAATAGGATGTAGGCCAGAGGTGTGGCGGGGTGAGAAGATTCACCAGAGACAGAATGGGGAGCAGAAGAAGTGGATCCATTGAAATACACTGCTGAGGGGAGCAGTGGGTGAGTCAGGAGAGGTCTGCTGCATCATGCTGGTTAGCTCCCTTGCTGGGGATAGAAACTCAGGTCAGGACACTGCAGTGGTGATAGCATGAGAACACTGAGACTTAAGCCCTTATGCCACCAGGGAGGCCCCTTTTGTGACTATTTGCTGTTATTTCCAAGTCTTAATATCTTCAAAATAGATTCCAGTTTAAGTTTGATGATTTGATTAAGGAGACCTCTCCATTAAGAAAGCATATTGTCTCTTTTGTAATTAACAAGTATTCTATCCGATTTAAACCTTAAAAGCCTAAAAGCCATAAATACTTAAAGAGAAACCAATGGTACAATGTCATAATAAAAATGAGCCAGAAGCAATATATTTAACTACAAAGAAGAGTATAAAATACTGTATAGTATTGATAAAACATGTGGATTGTTAAAATACTTAAAAATACTGCAATATGTATTTTGGAATAAAGACATTAGACAGTATTTCTTTTATAGTGAAAATATAGGACAATTCTAAATACCAGTTCCTGTAAACTACACTTAAGAAACTTACTAGAATATAGAAGCACAAGGGTTAAGAAATACTTTGGTCTTACCACCCACCCACAGAAAGTCAAGACACAGATAAAGAGTTTTTAAACTCTTTGCTACTGGGATCACTGCAAACTCTTAAAATTACTGAGATTCAAAACTTCTTTTTACTACAGCTTCTATGTATTGATATTTATGTATTATAAATTATAACAAAATAGTCTAAATATATTTACTTAATTGAAAATAAAAGTAATAACCTCATGTTTACACATTATATGAAAAGTAACTATTTTTTAAAACAAGAAACTGAAGAGTGGCAATATTTTATATCTTTTATGATTTAAATATCTGGTTTAATAGAAGACTGCTGGGTTCTCATGTTTTCTCCATTCATCTGTTGTGACATGTAAAATGACTGAAGTATAATGAAGAAAACCCAGCATTGCACAGATATGCATATGGAAAAAGAAAGAGTCTTCAAGACGCTGATAGACAGTTTCAGAGTTACAGTTTTAACACAGGAAATTTAAGGTTAGCTAGGAAACAAGTCATAACAGGTTTTATAGTAAATCATAAAATATTTTTATCATACTGCTACTCATATCAGCGTCATAGTCCTGTTTTGACTTACAAGACATCAAATTTTTCTTTTTCTTCTTTTCCACTCCACTATCCAATTGCCAAAGGGCCTTTTCTTCCTTTTTGCCTTTTCCTTTCCCAGAATATGTATTTAGAAGACTGTCTTTTAAATCACCTTACCCTTTAAATAAACCTCTGTTTATAATTCATGCACCAGGCTTTGGTTTCATGTCTCTTTAAAGACTGCACCTGGAAAGGGATAAGTCTCTTTAACTTCAGTCCCTGTATCTTTTTATGATGCCTGTCCCTTTAAGAAGATCCAATGCAATATGTGGTCTAATCTTCCCTTTTGTCTTAAAAGTAACTTCAGATTTTGAATGAATTTAACCTTTTTTGTAAGTGCTCCAACTCACTCGTCCTCAGTGCATAGTGTTCTTCTATCTTCTTCTATTTATTTCTCCTTCTTCCTTTACTTGGCTCAAACTGCCAGGTAGAATGGGTATAGAGCTATTGCTTGTTTTCTTCCCTTCACTCATAGTTACATTTCAGTTGGAGCATTCAGTATCATGTAAGACTGAGGGTTTAATTTTGATAGAGTTTTTCCTGCATATAGACTTAATTTTATGTTATGTGGGAAAATTTGGGGTAAATTGTTTATTGCACAGTCTCCTTGGTCTGCAGTTACCCAGAATTCCTAACAATATAGTCTTAACTTTAAGTTATCAATTTTTAAAATTTGATTTAAAGTTTTAAAAAAGCGAGAGCTTTTACCTGAATGTTTCTTCTTGGAGCTGTTCTAATTGAGTCTGGAGCTGCAGATGCCTTCTGCCTGCTGGACTATTAGGATCTTCTATAGAATCAGACTGATTAAGTCTTTCCATTAATATCTGATTCTCTGCCAACAGACTGCTCTTCTCCTCCTGCAATGCTGCAACCTGTGAAAATATATAAAGACAGTAGTTACTTCCTCCAATTCTATCATCAGCATAATCATTTGCAAATTACTATTATGAATTAAAGCCTGTTTTTAAAGAAGTACAATACCCTCTAAAAATATTTACAGTATTTTTCAATACTGCACAGAGCAGTATGTAAAACTAAGCAAGAATTCATTATTTAATATCTGAAATTTCACTAAAGAAGATATATACATGGCAACTGAGCACAAAAAGACATTCTCAATTAGTCATTAAAGAAATTCATGTTAAAAGCACAATATTGGAGAATGACATTACCAACATGGTGACAGTGGAGGTTCCTTGCTTCACTCTCTATAGGAACATCTAATAATTAACCAGTGGGATACTTATTGAGAGTCGCATGGCTTGGGGTAAGAGTGAAGCACCGCTTACACCTCAGAAACTAGTACAGATTGTGCCAGAGGAAACACAAAGATAGAAGGTGGATAGAAGGTGAAGGGAAAAATGCTTAGAGGCTGTGGTCTAAGATGGGGAACACAAAAGGCGGGGCTGACAGCCCAGCCTGGGGCCCTATGATGGGGGAGGGGAGGCACATAACCCTGATCAGGAGAAGCCCGTGTGGAGGTCCTGGGAAGCAACACAGAGCCCAGGGTCCCGGTAAAGAGAACAGAGAAGACTCTCTAGGCTGCACGCTGCCCCTTCCGTACCCCTAGGGACTGATACGGACCTCACTTGGATGTACTTAAAAATAAACAAGGACTAGAGTCAAAATAAGGGGGGAGGTGCAATTGTATGGGGAATATAACCAAAACAAAAATGCATACCTTGTGCAAAGATGAAAAAAGATGTAAGAATTATATAAAATAAAATATTTTTTAAAAAATAAACAAAAACAAACTTTTGGACTATGAAAAAATAAAACCATGATGCTATAACAATACACTTTTATTAGAATGGCTAAAATTATAAAGATTTGCTATATCAAGTGTGGGTAAAGATGCAGAGCAGGGCCTCCCTAGTGGCTCAAGGGGTTAAGACACAACCTATGAAGCTATCTGCAGCCACTGCAGCACAAGTTTGATTCCCAGACAGGAAGCTACCCACATGGCACAGCAGACCTCTCTTGACTTGCCCATTGCTCCCCTCAGCAGTGTATTGCAGTAGATCTGCCTGTTCTGTTCCCCACTCTGTCTCTGGTGAATCCTCTCACCCTCCACAGCTCTGGCCTGCACCCCAGTTCTGCTATACATAAATAAATCAATCTTTTTTTTTTTTAAGATTTATTTATGTATTAAGAACCAGAGTACAGACCAGATATGTGGGAGGGTGAGAGGATTCACTAGAGACAGAGCTGGAAACAGAGCAGGTGGTGAGGTGGTGAGGAAATACACTGCTGAGGGGAGCAGTGGGCGAGACAGGAGAGGTCTACCTTGCCATGTGGGTTGCTCCGTGGCCGGCGGGGATCAAACCGGCACTGAAGAGGCTACTGACAGCTTCACGGCATTGCGCTCAACCGCCTGCACCACCAGGGAGGCCCAATAAATAAATCTTTTTAAAAAAAAAAAAAAAGATGCAGAACAAATGAACTTTCATATACTTCTGGGAAGAATGTAAAAGGAAAAGAGTTTAGCATTTTCCTAAATGAAACAGGCAACAACCACATGACCCATCAAACCTACTCTTAGGTATTAGAGGAAAGCATATATCCACATAGATTTACAAAGCAGCCTCGTAACAGAGAAAACCCAGAAATAACACAAACACTCATCAACAAGCTAATGGATAAATACACTATAGCATATACATGCAACAGAATATTATTTGGCTCTAAAACAGAATTAACTACTGATATTGACAGCAGGAATGAATCTCAAAATAATGAAAAAAGCCATACAAAAAAAAGAAGCCAACTCTGAATGACTCCTTTTGTATACAATTCCAGAAGATACAAGCTACAGTGACAGAAAGCAGAGTTCAGGGATTACAAAGAGGCATGAAGAAACTTTTGAGGGTGATGAATTCATTAAACTGATTGTGGTGATGGTTTGTCAGGTTTGTATATAAGTCAACAGACATCAAAACTGTATACTTTAAATAGCAGTTATCTATTGTAAGTGGATTCTATCTCAATAAATCTGTAAAAACAAAAGTTGGCTGCCATTTCTAATACTTTCTCCTATACCTCCTCTTCTCTGAACTCATTTTAATTAGGCTATTGGCCCTATCATCCCACTAAACTGGTCATGAGCATTACTGCTGACCTCAAGGTTACTACTACCTATTAATGACATTGGGCACAGCTGATCATATCTTCCTTCTTGAATTTTCTTCACTTGGCCTCCAGGATACCTTACTCCTGCTTTCTGTATAAACTCACTGGTCTTATTTCTTTTTCATTAATTCCCCTGCCACTGAGGTATCCTACAACTTTCCTTTTCTAATACAGTGACAGTTTCCAGTGTCATGGCCGTAAACAACATATCACTGGCAACTCACACATTTCTATTTCTAGTCTGGCACCTTGGACTAGATAGTATTTCCATTTGGATGTCTAATAGGCATCTCAAATTTAAATTGTCCACGTGGAATTCTTAATTAACCCCCACCCCCATTCCTCCTCCTGACACGAGTCCTTCTCATATCAGCAAAAGGTAACTCTATCCTTTCAGTTGCTCAACCATAATCCTTAAATTTTCTCCATCACACCCATATCCAGTCTGTCAGCAAAATATCACTGGCTCTGTCTTCAAACATATTTTGACCACTTCTAACAATTCTATAGTCTAATCAAGTGAACTTAATTTTTTGCCTAGATTATTATAATCATCTCTTAGTCTCCCTGATTTTTGGTCCTTGTCTGTCTTTAGTCTGTTCTCCACACAGCAAACACAATAATCCATTAAAACAAAACTCAGATTATATGACTTTGCTCAAAACCCTCCCAGGGTTCCTCATTTACTCAAAGAATTCACAAAAGCTCATAAGGCTTCTCCACACTCATTTCCTCCTCCCATCCTCCCATGCTCCCTTCCATTCCTAATACCCTCTCTTCTTGCTTTTCCTTGAATACACCAGTTCTATTTTCACCTCAGATCATTTATAATTAGCCTATAATGCTCATCACTGAAAATCTGGGAGGCTTGCTTCTCTAACTTCTTTAGGATCTAACAAAATGTCTTCTCTGGTGACTACCCAATTTAAAACTAGTTCTTCCCATATCTCTATTCCCATATCTCTAGTCTACCTGCCAAAACAGGCATTGCTATAGTTTTCTAGGTGCAGGGTTACAGTGGTGAACAAATGAGAGAAAGCTCCTATCCCTGCATTATTTTGTTTATGGTCTCTTTTACTAGAATATAGTAGAATATAAGCACCTTCAGGGCAGGGATATTTTATCTATTTTTGTCTTTTTCCTGCCATTTTCACTGTCTCTACCACAGCTAGAATAGTGGATGGTACATAGTAGGTGCTCAGTGAACGCTGAATAAATAAATGAAACTGAAATGCCAGTTCAATATTTTGTCAGATTTCCATAAATGCATGATTTTTTTTCCCTCAGAAAAAAGCTCTACTGGTTTATTTCATTAATTTCTGCTCTTCCATTTTTCTTTAAAATATTTAGGCTTTAAAATTTAAATTTTGAAATATTTCTTTGCTACTTGTATCTACTAGTTTAATCGTATTTTGGCCCCAAAGCATAGTCTATAAGACAGATTCTTTGAATTTTACAAAGATTTGTTTTATACCTGGATTGTGATCACTTTATACTTTAAATACTAAATACTTTAAAAACTTTAATACTAACTTAATAGACTGGCAAATGTTGCTAAAAGTTTAATTCACTATATTGGACAGATGTCCATTTCATAGAGAAAAAGGAGACTAATTTCAAAAATGCATGAATGAGATATATGTAAGGAAAAGAAAAATCAAACAAGGCAAAAGGCTTACAAGGAAAAGCAGAAGGTTTTGCTGAGTTTTTCCATTCTTAACAGACAACTAGCTTTAGCTTCCTAATTTTATTTTTGGCTGTACTTTACATCTGTAATGTTATACACCACCATTTCTTGATTATTTAACTTCAGAAACTACCTAGTGACTGTTTCCTCTGACATGTTAAATTATAACAACTTATGTCATCCCTCCTTTCCACAAATACAGTTCTATCACCATTCTTGCTTCCTTCAGTGGCCACTGTGCAATTTTAAACATCTAATCGCTGACTCATTTCACTTAGTCATCTGCCCATTCCCTCATTTAAATATTCGCTGCATGCCTCTGACAAGATAGGCATTGCTACAGTTTTCTAGGTTACAGTGGTGAACAAATGAGAGAAAGCTCCTATCCCTGCATTATGTATTCAGAAGAAATCATTGTAAATACATTAAAGACCAAGTATAAACAAGAAAGTAAATTAATTACATATGTGAAACTAGTGAAAAGTGCCATGCAGAGGGTTAAAATAAGAACAACAGGGGAGATGGTCACTTTAGATTGGCTGACCATGGAGAACCTTTCCAGGAAGCCAAATTTAGCAGTTGTAAATCTAAGTGCCCAATACATATTTTATGACAAATACATCAGGTGATTTTGAGCTAAGATTGGATGACAAGATGGAGCCAGGCATGTAATGTCTGTTGCACCACAGAAGTGGTGATTCCCTTCTTGGTAAGATGAGAACATGAGTGACCCTGCCTTTTCCTTCTCTCTCCTGTCTCAATCTCCTTCTCAACCTGTTACCTATACCCTTACTTTCACAGTAATGTTTCTGTATAGGACAATCTAAATATTAAAAACCAATAAAGTTGACATTACTGCATCAAAGATCACATTATTTCTGTGCTTCTAGTAGAAAATATGAACTAGAATATTTTCTAGTAGAAAATATTACCCAGCTTTAATAAGCATCAAAATATAGCCAATTAGGTTTCCTCAGTACCTCTATCACTCTCCTCACCTGCCTGACTTTGAAGTCAATCACAGACAAATAATTTTATTTCTTATTATGTCTTTTTATTTATGAGAAATTTCTTCAACTTTAGCTTCCAATGAATTTTTAAATTTGATGATTCTATTTTTGTTTCTTGATCTGATTTTTCTTTGAAAAACATTTATTGAAATAACTGGTTTATAATGATTTTTTTTCTTTTGAAAATAGCATCTTTTCCCCTTTTGTGTTCCTTATTTTATAGGTGCAACATCTTCATTGAGCATATTAAATGGATTAAAAAGAAAAATCTCTCTTTTTTTAAAGATTTATTTATGCATACAAGAACTGGGGTACAGACCAGAGATGTGGGGTTGAGAGGATCCACCAGAGACAGAGTGGGGAACAGAACAGGCAGATCTACTGAAATACACTGCTGAGCAGAGCAACGGGCCAGACAGGAGAGGTCTGCTGTGCCATGTGGGTAGCTCCATGGCTGGGGATCCAACTCATGCTAGAGTGGCTGCAGATAGCTTCGTAGGTTGTGTCTTAACCCCATGCACCACATGGGAGGCCCCAAAAGAAGAATCTCTTGTCCTAAATTTCTTCATGTTCCTCTAAAGCTAGTTTCCTGGTCATTCTAATTCTCTTCTTTTTTATAATGCAGATTACCCTGACTTTTAAGAATTCATTCACAGCATGGGTAAAAAGGAAGCTATGCATTCAGGGGTTTTATGGCTTATTTACAAGATACCTGCCTTTAAGTAATTGAGAACCCAGAAAGGTGATAATGAAAAGGAACTACCCGGCAATACTGATACTACTCGAATCTCCCTATACTTCTTTGAAAAAGACCCTCTGGTTGGGTGTGCAGTGGGTGACAAGGATAATGGGTATAACTCTTCTATAAAACCTCCAGTTGTAGTCTTATTTCAGCCTTCCTTCACACCTGTGGCCCCTCTGGGGTTCTGCCACAGCAGATCCCTTCCTCCCACCTCCCGCCCCAGGCATTCTGGGATACTGCCATTCTGCACTTCTCCCACTGCCTTTTGGCTGCAGTGGCTGATGAAGGCTGGTGGTGGGGTGTTGCTGACTACAACCAAACCAAATGTTAAGTGTTCAGGAGACTTGTGGGCCAACTGTTAAACTATCAGTAACTTAAAATTGGCCACTGTGAGAAATTTATAGAAACTGGAAAATACTACAAATCAGGGCTTTTTAAAATCTCCTCCAATCCCTCCATGAGCTAGCTTATGAGCACGCCACAAAAACCAAATATGTTGCTATCCATTCTCTTCTTTTTATCCCTCCTTTTTCTCTTCTTGTGGGGTGAATGCAGTTATTTCATTTATGATAAATTTAATGGGGTTGTGGGAAAAAATAAAATCATCTTTGCTTAGTTTGTACTCTTTTAAAGAGAAATCTGATTGCCTTTATTTTCTTTAATTATGGTTGCATTATAGTCAAACTGCACTGAATGGAAGTGCACAGAACAATTTGGTGGTACTTACAGAATTTCCAATAGTTGGTACACAGAACAGACTTCCTACCTGCATATCCAATTCATGGCATCTTTGAGCAATTTCTTCCTTTGCTGACAAAGCTTCGTTTAATTCCTCTGTAGTTTTCTTCAACTGGTTAGAAACAAAGATAATAGAAATTTCAATATAAAGGAGCAAAATTAGTACTTACAAATGTACAATGAGAATTAAAACATTTTCTCTTTCTGAGGGGCAGGGAGAAATCTGAAACACTTCTGCAAGAATCTAAAGGTACTTGTAACATTTAGTTCTACAACTCCTCTTTTCAATATTTTGAATCTGGTTCTTTTCTCTTAAAAGTTAATTAATGTATTAGCTTAAAAAAGAAAAAATTGATTAAAGTAAAATTACATTGGCTTTCCATTTCATGTGACCAAACCTCCATGTAGTATAGGTGTCACAGGGCAACCCAACATAGGTACAAAAAGATGTATTCAAGGCAATAACTTTAAAATCAAACATCAAAGTAAAAGTAGGAGAAATTTTAACTTGAATAAAATTATATCATATCCAAAGATTTCCTGCAACACATGAAGAAACCATGGAGAAGAACTGAGAGAGACAAAGAAAACAAAGAGTTCTGTTCATGCTTTGAAATAGATGTCCCAGAATAGCTGGAACACAGAAACTGACAATGTAACAAACAACATTTGTAATTAAAATTACAAAGCACCTTTTCTGTTAAAACCATAAGAATATGTTGCAGATCTTTGTTGCCTGGTGTATTGAGATATCCTCTCACACTGTTTACTTCTTTACAAAGATGTAACATATCTGCATTATAACTAAATGATAAGATTAAATCCATGTCATTTTGTAGGAATGCATCTATTGTGTTAACGTGGCATGTACAAAGGTGTTACTAATGGAAAAAGAAAAATCATGACTATAAAATAGGAACCACATTAAGTTTTTAAAAACTGACTTAAGTTTTAATAAATTAAAGGAGTTAATGCATTTTATTTAATATAGTTTATTTTAAAGTAGGTTATACAGCAATACTTAAAATACAAATTATAACTTTAATTACAAATGTATAATGTCCATGTTATAAAATGGTACAAGGACTTACACCAATATATTCCATACTCTCCAATCTGAACTGAAACATTCTTTCCATACTCTCCAATCTGAACTGAAACATTCTTTTCACTAATATCTAAATAAATAATTTCCAATCTTCAAAAGGATAAAAATAATGCAAAATTAGATACCTGCCGATCCAGGTCAACATAGGCATCATTTCCAGCAGAGACAGGAGATTCTTTACTCATTAGCTGAAATTAAAATTTAAATGACTGTAACCATGAGGCAAACAGTTGTTATATATAATGATAAACCAACACTACAAACACAATCACCTAGTCACTACAGAATTATAAAAATGAAAATGAAAACACAAATGTTAACTGAACATTTTCTTATACAATGAAGTTTTTCAGTCTGGAAACTTTTTTTTCCACTCTAGAATAATGCCTTCACTTAAAATTACAGGTCTAAATTTTGGTGTTCATTTTCAGTGTAGGCTCACTCATAAGTATCATGTATTACTTACTTGTAACCACTAAAAGTATAAGTCTTTAAGTTAAAAACGTGGCTAAATATTTTAAAGCAGTGACTTTTCAGTGAAATAAGGTAACACTAACAACTATTTCTAAAGAATAGAAGTGGGTAACCTAATTATTAGCCAAAATTAACTGGCAAATGATAACACATACAGGCTGTGTCTCAGCCTTTCTCACTCTTGTGTGGTAAAGAGAGATGATCCAAAGGGTGTGTGAGGGGTCTGGAGAGAAGGGGATAAAGTTTTCACTGTTAGAAATTATCGGGGGCTGACTCAAATGGTCCTGATTTTCTATGGTTCCCTTCTTAAGTGCTATGTGAAGGAGAAAAGAGTGAATGACAATTAGAAATGTGGGCAAACAGATTTATGGTCAACTAATCTTTGACAAAGGAGCAAAGACTATGCATTGGAGCAAAGAAAGTTTGTTCAATAAATGGTGCTGGGAAAACTGGGTCGCTACATGCAAAAGAATGAAGCTTGACCACTACCTCACACCATACACAAAAATCAACTCAAAATGGATTAAAGAACTAGACATAAGACCTGAAACCATAAAATACATAGAAGGAAATATAGGCGAAACACTACGTGATATGCACATCAAAGACATCTTTACAGACACATCACCCAAAGCAGTGATAGTGAAGGCAAAGATAAACAGCTGGGACTACATCAAATTAAAGAGCTTCTGCACAGCAAAAGAGACAATAACAAAAACAAAGAGAAACCCCACCAACTGGGAGAACATTTTTGCACACAACACTAATGATAAAGGACTGATCACAAAAATCTGCAAAGAGCTGATGAGACTCAACACAAACAAAGAAAACAATACAGTCAAAATATGGTCAGAAGAGCTAAAAAGAAACTTCTCTGAAGAAGAAATGCAAATGGCCAACAGGCATATGAAAAAATGTTCAACATCACTTGTAATCAGGGAAATGCAAATCAAAACTACCATGAGATACCATCTCACACCAGTGAGAATGGCACATATTAAAAGAACTAGCAACAACAAATGTTGGCGAGGGTGTGGAGAAAAAGGAACTCTTCTGCACTGTTGGTGGGAGTGCAAACTGGTTCAACCACTATGGAGAGCTGTGTGGAGATTTCTAGACCTACTAAACATAGAGCTTCCATATGATCCAGCAATTCCACTCCTAGGTATTTACCCAAAGGACACAGAAACATCAATTCCAAAGAGCACCTGCACCCCTATGTTTATAGCAGCACTATTTACAATAGATAAGCTTTGGAAACAACCCAAATGCCCAAAAATAGATGACTGGATCAAGAAGATGTGGTACGTATATACCATGGAATATTACTCAGATTCAAAAAAGATAAACACATGCAATTTGCAGCAACATGGATGGCGCTGGAAGGGATCATGCTCAGCGAAATAAGCCAGAAAGAAAAAGAAAAATACCGGATGGTCTCACTCATAGCAGCAATCTAGAAAACTTAAATAAGGGACCAGGAAAATGAATAACTGTAAGAAAGTGAAAATCAAAATCAACAAAAAACTATGAACCAGAGACACTCTATGGGGGGTAGAGGGCGGGAGGGGAGGGATTGGGGTCAAAATAAGGGGGTTGCAATTGTATGGGGAATATAAAAATAAAATTTATTATAAAATAAATAAATAAATAAATAAATAAAAATGAGGACAGAATTAAAAAAAAAAAAACAAATGTGGGCAAATACTGTTGAGAGATCTGGTGACTTCAACCTTCATCACCCTCTCTGGAGAACTAAAATATTATATTCTGCTGTACCCTTTTCTCTTTATCAGTGGTTCTCAAAGAGAGATCCCCAAACCATAAGTATCAGCATTGCCTGGGAACTTGTCAAAAATGAAAATTCTTGGGTACCAGTCCAGATTTACTTAGTTAAGTCCAGCCACCTGTTTAATAAGTCTTCCAGGTGATGCTGATACATACAGAAGTTTGAGAACTACTGCTCTGTATTAATGTAATGAGAAGAGTTGAAAGTCAACTAGCATAATTAGGGGGGCAAAAACTCAGGAAGAGTAAAAATATTTGGTTTTCTCCATAAAGGGCAGGTTTATTAGGAAAAAAGGAAAGAAGATGACACTTGCACAAATAAGCAGGCAGGAGGAGCTGCTTATTGAAACTACCAACAAAAAGACTTTTAATTTTCTTCCAATTGTAAAAATATACATTGTAGAGAAGGTAGAATTCAAAAAAAAATATATAAAGAGAACAAAAGTATTACTTTACTAAATAATATAATTTTGAATATTTAAGAAGCTACCTGTGCCAACCATCAGTCTAGCACAGTTCAAATAAGGAAGACAAATAGTGTACAGTGTGAGAAGGGTTATGATAGAATATTCCAGGAATACATCTAATGCAGAGGTAGGTGGTAGAAGGGAGTGAAAGTATTTTCTTTCAGTCTTTTTCTTTTTCCTTTTATTACCTCTTTTAGTCCTTATAACACAGCAAAACCACTGAATAAAAACCTAGGTCTCCTGCTTTCTGAATGCCATCTACTAAGTCACTCATTCAATTACATGAGTACAGTTAGTTCCCTGACTTCCTTGAGGCTACAAGGCCTAATACCGCTCACTTTCTCCCTGTGTTTTATTCCCACCCATCATTTCTGTATTCACTCTTCTTCACTTTCCTCACACTCTATAATGAACACCACTGGTTTGCTTACTTCCTTTGTCTTCTACAAACATCATCACCTTCCCCTCCCTATTTTAGCTCCCATGGTCTATCATATATATGTGTAATCAATTACCTTCTCTTTCTGCTATGAATTTCATGGCCTATTACTCTGATGACTTTCATCAATAAAATGAATTCTCCTTTTACCCTCAATTCCTTCTTCCTGGCAAAATCTCAAGATTTTAACCCATGATTACTCCAACTCTCTCTCTTTACTGCCATATACTCCGATTATTAAGTACTGAGAGAGTGAAAACACATTTTAAGTCATAACACATAGTTTCCAATCTCAAATGAGCCTTCAAAATTGCCAAAAGGCAATGTTTCCCCAATCAGCAGTCTCTTGATTCCCTTTAGAGATTATCCCAAACCTTTACTATTTCTCAAACCTCATCAACTACACTCTTCATCAGAAAACCTTGCCTCCAGATAAGAATTTCCCTCATATATCATAACCTCAAATTTGGCAACATTCATGCCCATCCCTTCTGTTCTTCCCATCCAAAGCCAACCTTCTACTTGTTCTCTCAACCCAGTCTCTTCCTAGCATGTCATAAACCCTGTAGCATTTATTATCACTTCTCTCTCATCACTCTACCAGTAATCACTGTTATAATTTTGAATATTTAAAAAGCTATCTGTGGGCCTTCCCTGGTGGCGCAGGTGGTTGAGCACAGCGCTGTGAAGCTGTCCGCAGCCTCTTCAGTGCAGGTTCTATCCCGGCCAGCAGGCGAGAATCCCACATGGCACGGCAGACCTCTCCTGCCTCACCTGCTGCTCCCCTCAGCAGTGCATTTCGTCAGTCTGCCTGTTCTGCTCCCTGCTCTGTCTCTCGTGAATCCTCTCAACCTCCCACACCTCTGGCCTGTACCCTGGTTCTTGTATGCATGAATAAACAAATCTTTAAAAAAAAAAAAAAAGCGATCTGTGCCAACCATTGGTCTAGTGCAGTTCAAGCAAGAACACATATACAATACAGTGTGATAAGGACTGTGACAGAATATCCAAGGAATATAATCAACGTTAAGATACCACTTCAAGCCCACTAGGATGGCTATTATCAAAGGAATATACAATAACAGGGGTTGACAAGGAGGTGGAGAAATTATCATCTTCAAGTATTGCTGGTGGGAATGGAAAATGGTACAGAACCTGTAGAAATTAGGTTAGTACTTCTTTAGAAAATTTAAACATAAAATTAATGTATGTTCCAGGAATTCAATTTCTGGATATATGCCCCAAAGAATTAAAAACGGGTGTTCAAAAACACCCTGTTCACTCATTTTCACAGCACTATTTTCATAACAGCCAAAAGGTAGAAACAACCCAAATGTCCATCAAACGATGAATGGATAACTGTGATAAACTCTTAGAATATTATCTAGCCACAAAGGAAGTATTGACACATGCAACAATATAACCTTGAAAACATTATGCTTAAATGAAAAATTGGACACACAAGACCATATAACATAGACACCGAAAACTGATTACTGGCAGGTTACCTTGGGTTAAAAGGAGGAGGATATGAGGAAGCCCTGTTTAATGGGTACAGGGTTTCCTTTTACGATGATGAAAAAAATCTGGAACTAAATAGTGGTGATATCTGCATATTATGAATTACTAAATGTCACTAATGGCCAATTTTATATTATATGCATTTTATCACAATTAAAAAGATCAAAGTCGGTGTACACCTTAATAAAAACATTAAGTGGAGCATGATCCCTTCCACCTCCATCCATGTTGCTGCAAATTGCATGTGTTTATCTTTTTTGAATGCTGAGTAATATTCCATTGTGTATATGTACCACATCTTCATGCTCAGCAAAATACGCCAGAAAGAAAAAGAAAAATACCAGATGGTCTCATAGCAGGAATCTAGAAAACCTAAATAAGGGACCAGGAAAAAGAATAACTATAAGAAAGAAAAAAATCAAAATCAACTAACAACTATGAACCAGAGACACACTATGGGCGGCAGGGGCGGGGAAAGGAGGGCTTGGGGTCAAAATAGGGGGGTTGCAATTATATGGGGAATATAAAAATAAAATTAAAAAAAAAAACAAAACATTAAGTGGAAGTCTTAAAAAAAAAAACAAAACTATCCTCTTACAAAAGTCCTCCCTCAATTCCACCTGGCTACTCCCCTTGCCCTACCCATAGGCTCAATTAGTGATAGCTTGATAGCACTGAGACTTTAACCCTTGTGCCACCAAGGAGGCCCCTACCCATAGGTTCAATTAGTAACTAAATATATTGACCTAAGTTCTGATCATTTTCACATCTATCCATTTCTCTAACTACCACAATCTCCTTTAGGCTCTGTCTTTCTTCACAGGATAATCACTAGGTCTATTAACTGCTCTCCTGTTTCCTAACCTTCTTTTCCTCCAACCCATTCTTCACATTACACAGATTTTCTCAAATACAGATTTCAATGAATTCTCTCCTTTAAATCTATTCATTGGCTTCCAAAACACCAATGCTTTTAACAAAACAGCTTAATAGCCTAATCTTGTGTCTCCTGTTTCATCTCTAAGCATTTCATGCCTCATGGTGTTTGCTAAAAGCCTTCTTCTTCCACTACCACACACAGGCTGTGCAGGTACTGCTTTCTCTTGCCTCCTGGAATTTGGAATCAATTTTTTTTGGCATTTCCTTATATTGTATTCTCCTTCAGTGTTAAGTCCAGATGCCATGCCACTTCCTCTGAGAAACCTTCCATAATATTCCCAACAGAGCTCCACACTCCCTTCTTTTTCATACTTGTATTCCTGCTGCCTATATACTGCACCACCTGGAACATAGTAGGAGCTTAATAAGTACCCGATAAATAAAATGTATTGGCACAGAAAAGACATATAATCTATTTTAAAAAGCAAATTGTACATAACATTTTATTTGTATCTTGTTTATTTGCCATTTTAAGCTTAATGCTTTGTCTTGAGTATCTCATTTTTGTTTGTTTTACAGGATTTTATCAGCTACATAATATTCCATGGGATGGAGAGATTTAAATACCATTTACTGATACAAATACACTGATTCCACTTTTTTGTTAATAGAAAATAGTTTGATAAACCCAGATATACCCAATCTTTGTCTGAATTTCTAAAGAATTTTTGGGACAGATTCATAGAATGAAAATCACAAATTTTAATGTAAAATATATCTATGATTATAGATATAATACCATTTATTATAGAAAAACTGGAAAGTACTGAAAAAAAGTACAGAACATCCAATCATTTGGAGAGAGTTAACATTTTGACAAGCTTATTTATTTTCATTCATGTTGACTTTTATTTTAACAGAAATGGACTATACTGGTTCATAGTCTCTTGTTATATTTTTCAAGATATGCTTCAATGCCTATATAATATGCTTTGACTCTTGTAATATCCACTTTTTCCATTGCTTTTATGATTAAAAAACATTCTTACAACCTGAGATCAGTTATAAATCTATTATTTTTAATTGCTGTTTTACATTTGACAGCAAATTTGATATGCCCCAAAGTATGACACCTTAGAATAATGAATATTTCAATCTGAAGGAAATCTGAAAAATAACCAGCACAGGAAGGATTTGCTGACCTTCCTGAAACAGATCCTAAGACCCTCATGTGAGAGGTGGCCTTCCTACACTCAGATGAAAGAAACTTATCTCCAAAGACAGGGATGGTGAGTGGTGTCTAAACGAGCAGGCCTTGCTGTTTTCGCCAGTTTATTACACTTAGTTCCTATCCTTTCGTCATATCACATTTTTCTAGGATTCTCCAACTTTCATCAATCCTAAAGACCTCGGATTTTCATTTCCAAACAAAGGCTCCTGTGTCAAGTAAAACTTATATTAAATAAGCTTGTATGCTTTTTTCTTACTAATCTGTCCCATTCAAGAATTTAGAAGGGTAAAGGAAAATTATATTTTTTGTTCCCTATAGTTTCAATATGAACATTTAACTAGAAATTTTTCTGGGGGGGATTAAAGTTACAGACCTTTCTCCTACCAAATGAGAAACCAATAGTTAAGTGTGAGATAGACAGCTAATTTAAAGATATTACTTATAATGGTTAGAGGAACTATTCCTAGTTCATTAGTATATTTTCAAAAATTAGGAATAGTTACTATTCTATATATCAATATGCAAGATAAATATTTAAGATACACATAAAAGTGAGAAATTTATTGAGTATGATTTTTTTTTAAAAAGATTTATTTATTTATTTATTTATACAAGCACTGGGTACAGTCAGAAGCGCGGAAGGGTGAGAGAATTCACCAGAGCCAGAACGGGGAGCAGAACAGGCAGACTGACAAAGTACACTGCTGAGGGGAGCAGCGGGCAGCAGGAGAGGTCTGTGCGCCATGTGGGACCCTCACCCAGGGGCCAGGGATCGAACAGCTTCGCAGCTCAGCGCTCAACCACTGCGCCACCATGGGAGGCCCAATGAGTATGATTTTTAAAGAGATAAGCTACATCATAAGTTACATCATAAGTTTACAGAGAAAATTCTCCCAAAAAAAGAATTTTTTTAAAGACAAATTTTTCATTTATTTATTTATTTATACATACATACAAGCACTGGGTACAGTCAGAAGCGCGGGAGGGTGAGAGAACTCACCAGAGCCAGAGCGGGAAGCAGACCAGGCAGACTGCTGAAGTACACTGCTGAGGGGAGCAGCGGGCGGCGGGAGAGGTCTGCGTGCCATGTGGAACCCTCACCTGGTGGCTGGGGATAGAACTGGTGCTGCAGAGGCTGTGGGCAGCTTCACAGCCCAGCGCTCAACCGCTGCGCCACCGGGGAGGCCCGAGAATTTTTTTTTAAGATTTATTTATTTATTCATGATACAAAACCGGGGTACAGGCCAGAGGTGAGGTATACAGGGGTGCAGGCGTGAGGGTGAGAGGATTCACAAAAAACAGAGCGGGGAACAGAACAGGCAGACTGACTTAAATACACTGTTGAGGGGAGCAGTGCACGAGACAGGAAAGGTCAGCTGCGCACAGCTTCACAGCGATGTGTTCAACTGCCTGCGCCACCAGGGAAGCCCAAATGAGAATTTAAAAAAAAAAATTCTACTTCTATTAATTACTCACAAAGTTTAAGCACAAAGATCCAACATACCTCTTGTATGGCTGTCATCACAACATGTTGAACAGATTCCTCCATCATCATAATGGCTTGGATGTATTCTGAAAACGAGAACAATCTGAAATGTCACTATCCAAATTAAAGACTATCAAGGGAATACAGGCTAATATTGCATCATTTTTTAAAGTATTTCCTACAAACTGATTCCTCCTATGAATTTCTCATATATGGTTAAATGTATGTGCCAAGGTAAAACAAAGACTGAAATCACAGTATTTATTATTCTTTATGATAATCTCACTGCCCCCCACCATTCCTTAAAAATCACAGGAATTCAGGGTCTCAGGAATGTAAAACAATGAACTGTAAAGCCTTTGATCAGGATGGGACAGACTCCACGTTACTTATTTCTAGAACCTAAATATAATTGGTGTTTTACATTGTTCTTTGTTACATGCTAAAATTTTTGAAGCCTATGCTTGTTCTTATATGACATCAAAGCACTGAATTATGCATGATTCCTATCTTAATATTTTGTAAAGAAAAAAGAATGAACCTGAGAGCTGCTCTGGACAGAGAGTTTAAGAATTTAAGATAGAAATGGATACTATAATTAAATAAACATTGTACCTACCACCCTGGGCTTTAAAATAATGATCCACATCTATAAGCTAAAGTATCAACTTCAACATTCTTACCCTCATCACTGCCAAAAAAGAGAAGAATCTCTTAATTGTTAGTGACAAAATTTAAAAAAACACGTAGTTTAAAAAGCCCTGAAAGTAGTTTTCATTATTTCCAAATCCAACAATGGATGAAAAAAGCATTTAAAAAAACCCACCACAATAGGCCAGTTGGAATCCAACAAATATGGTAAATGTTTAAATGAAACATTTAAAAAGAGTAATTAGGAAATTTGAGCCTGAGCTTACTTCTCCACCCACCCCTAAATAAAACAACAAAAAACTGTCTCAACACTACAACTATTATATAAAATACTTTTATATTACTACAAAATGGTTAGTGATCTTTTGGCACGAGACTAGTGTATTTGGAATGCCAAACTATAATCCTTTGCTTGACAGGTAACTTGTTTTTAAAAAAAAAAAAAAAAAGTTATTTTGATAGCACAGGTAAATCATCACATTCTAACATTCTGGCTGTTAATATCAAAAATTTTAGTTAATCTAAAAAACATGTTTTTAATGAAGCGTTGTCCTAAAGACACATGCACCCAATCAAATATGTAGTGATATATACAAATAATCACCACACTTAAATCACAGGTGTTGTTCTTAAGCCAACAGCAATATATCATACTTAAGCACTATTTGGTAGAAAAAAGAACTCCTTTAATCTGAGTTTAATTTTTTGTTTTGTTAATGAGTAGCACCTTATGAGTTTTGGAATACAGCAAGGGAGTGTTTCTAGATCTTCTGTGCAAAGGTAACAACTAGAAAGGTACCACAGAAATTTAGTGAACTCCAAGGCTATGAAGAACCTGGCATAGGTAGGATGACTAAACAACTTTCAAAATAAAAGATTGTGAACATGGAAGAGAAGAAACAGTGGCATTGATAATGGGGAAGGAAAACTTAATGACAACCTACTGGAAGTGAAGAAAGTAAGAGTGGGAATAATGAAGTTAAGAAGTTAGTAAGGTGTGAGAGGGGAAGCGTTAGTTAAGAAGCGGTGTTGCCACGTCAAGGCCCTTCCCCGCGAACACCGTAAAATGCCAAATGATAAAATGATGATGAGGAATACATTAATGTACAATATTTGAAAAAAAATTACAAATCTTTATAGTTCAAAATAGAAGTATATATGATTACTGAGTGCAGATCTATGACGGAATGCTGGAGAATAAGGTGTATTATGTCAGGGAATTTACCCTGAAAACATAGCTGTTAGATCCAAAATTTACTGCACAGTTTAATACAAAGAATATTAAGTGTGGAAAAGACATAGGTTTCTGCCCTCACCTAGCCTCTCACAAGCAAGAAATCTTAAGTAAGTCACATAATACTTAAGAATCTCAGCTTCTTAATCTGTAAAAAGTACTTTTTGTTCTATTAGTTCCTGGTAGAGTTCTAGCAGAAAGGTGACACTAGTAATAGTTAATGTGCTTTCTACTACTAATCCTTGCTCTTCAAAAATTCACCACCATTTGTTTTGCCCCAATTTGAGAAGTCAGTTAGGGTAAATGTATGTTGAATCAACATGCAGAGCAGTTGTTCCTACTTCTTCTGTAGGAAAAAATAATCCAAACATAAAGGTCCATTTATGTGTATGGTGTTTTATGAATTACAGAGCAAATACACACACATATACACACACACACATAATTTCATTTACTCCTCATGACTACCAGGCTTTGCATCCAAGGGAAGAAAAAGGCTGAGTATCTTGTCCAATGCCAGTCACTTTGGTACATAGGGACCCTGGGAAGCATACACCATTAAGTAACTTTAATAAGCCTTGCCTTATACAGCAGGTCATCAAATAATGTTTCATTATAACATTGATGAGGAAAAAAAAAAATTCCCTGCTGGGGCCACTGTCCACATGGAGTTTGCCCATTCTCTCCCCTTTTCTTTGTGGGTTTTCCATGGTTTCGAACACAAGTTCCTGTTTAATATTAAGAAATGTTTGGGGGGCCTCCCCGGTGGCGCAGCGGTTGAGCGCTGGGTTGCGAAGCTGCGCGCGGCCTCTGCGGCGCCGGTTCGATCCCCGGCTGCTCCCCGGCCACCAGAGGAGGGTCCCACATGGCGCGCAGACCTCTCCTGCCGCCCGCTGCTCCCCTCAGCAGTGTACTTGGGTCCTTCTGCCTGCTCTGCTCCCCGCTCTGGCTCTGGTGAATTCTCTCGCCCTCCCGCACTTCTGACTGTACCCAGTGCATGTATAAACAAAACAAACAAACAAACCAGCAAACAAATAAATAAAGCATGCCTCTATTAAAAAAAAAAAAAAAAAAAAAAAAAAAAGAAATGTTTGGGGTCTATAATCGGAAGTTTGGTGATGTTTTTGTGACCAGAAATAGCTGTAGGAACTTAACTCTTATTTATATCAATAAGCGTGTGGTAAAACTGATTTTGTTGCAAGTAAAAGTTGCAGTTTCCAAGAATCTATGACAATGTTAAAAGAAGACCTATGTAGATAATACATGTGCAGTGACAGGTAATACTTAATCCAGAAATTCACTTAATTTGATTAGTAGCTGTCAAATTTGTTCCTAAAAGCAGAAAATGTCCTCTGGATAAAGTGAGATGTTAAAATCTTACTCAGTTTACATCATTTATATGCAATTTCAGGAGAAAAACTGAATCCAGGTGTTAATGTCTACATGAGAATCTCAATAAATATTATGATTCCTTGTTTCCCAAGGAATATGACTACAGGTAATGTCCTTGTCTTTTCTAATTGCTACTCCATAATAAGTAATAATTAGCTGGGCCTCCCTGGTGGTACAAGAGGCTAAGTCTCAGCACTATGAAGAGGTCAGAGGCCACTGCAGCCCCGCCAGGGAACCGGCCCACATGTCTCAGCAGACCTCTCCTGTCTCACATGCTGCTCCCCTTAGCAGTGTGTTTCAATCTGCCTGCTCTGCTCCCCACTCTGTCTCTGGTGAATCCTCTCACCTTTCCCACGCCTCTGGCATATACCCCATCTCTTGGATGCATAAATAAATAAATAAATCTTTAAATATATATATGTATATAAAATTAGCTAACTCTTAACAACTACATTTAAGGAGCATTATGCATTAAATATTAACTCCAAGTTTTGATGCATTATCTAACAAAATACATAAAAAGTCATTTTCTGAATTCAGTGAATTACATTAAATTTTTTTCACCTATCCTTTAAAATAAAACTTCTATTTAGAGATTTAATGTGTTTTGAATCTTATTTATACAAATCTTCAATTCTGGACAAAAAACTTGATAGAAACACTTCAGTAATAAACAAAAATCACAAATGTAGAAAATCCTCTATTTTAATTCTTGACTTAAACTGAACAAACAATCTAAAATTATTGTAAGAGCATGGCATGCTAAAATCTAAAAGGAATAGGGCTAAAGAGAAATACATTGTTAGAAAAAATTCCTGATACAGAGACAAATAAAGGTAGTCACAGGTTCAAGAACAACATTAACTATTATTACACTAATCACGAGAACACCAAAAAAAATACAGGCAAATCTGTACTTCTCTGTGTGGAACAAGAAAAATACATTTGGGCTAAAAAAATATCTTCAAAGGTCAGGTAAAGAACAGTATAATACTGTGTTGTCATCTTTGGAACAGCCCCTCTCTACCTTTCTCCTGATTCATCTCCTTTATCCCTTCCTCATTATTCTCGGCTATGGTTGTGATTTTATTTAAACCCTAAAGGGTTTAAAGGAAAACTAGAGGGGCCTCCCTGGAGGCGCAAGGGGTTAAGTTTCAGCATGATAAAGCTATTGGCAGCCACAGCAGCACAAGTTTGATCCCCAGCCAGGAAGCTGACCCACATGGCGCAGACCTCTCTTGTTTTGCCTGCTGCTGCTCCCCTCAGCAGTGTATTTTAGTAGATCTGCCTGTTGTGCTCCCACTCTGTCTCTTGTGAATCCTCTCACCCCCCTTCACCTCTGGCCTATACCCCATCTCTTGTATGCATAAATAAATAAATCTTTAAAAAAATAAAAAGGAAAACTAGAGTCTTCCTGACATTTAGTTTCTGCTATTCAGTTTATGCTTAACCTATTACCCTCCACATCTTTGCTTAAGTAATTTCCTTGATCCAGATCAAGCCTGTCTACCATGACAACTGCCGTCACAGCACTTACCACTAGTCAGATCACATAATCATATGTGGCATTACTTATTGCCTTCCTCTTCCACTCAACTATAGATTCCATCAGGGAAGGTTCTGTGTCTGTTTTTTGTCTGACAAGTGTTCCTAGGCCCCAGCATAATGCCTGATTTCAGTAAATATTCATAAAATAAATCCTTCATACTTGCACCTAAAATATCCAATTTTAAGTTTCCAGAGCTGAATTGATCCAGTATATTATATCATATTATTGCTAACATTAAGTATTTAATTTAGCTTGTCCATGTCCAATTAACAGCAAGCTATATCACATTCAGGATAGTTAAAAACATATGCTTAAAAAAATTATACAGTTTTGCAGAAAGGGAAAGAATATCACCTTGATGAAATTTAGTCTAACTTGCAAAACACTCTTTTAAGCTTCAAAACAAATTATCAGCAAAATCATAGAAAATGGCATTCTTTGAGGGTACCCTTAAAGATGTGACTGTTCATATTGGTAATTATATGAAATACACAATATATATTACTCTCCTTAGTTTTAAATGCATACATTGAAATAAATTACCTTGCTTCTGTTCACAGTTCACAGCACAGCCTAAAATGAGTTGAAGCATCCTTCCAAGCTCTGCAGCATCCGAATGCTCCCCAATAAGGTTCACATCAGGAAGGGTAAAGTCATTGATTTGCTGTCCTAAAATCTGAACGAAGATAGAGAGATTGGCACTACATTTACATTTACATTTATATGACCCAATAAAAGATTTGACAGAGATTAGTTTGTCAGCTCTAGAAACTCATCATTCAGGACAGAGCTATTATGTCAATCTAACTCCTAATTTCTATTTTTATCTCCCATACTAAGTTATAACTATGCAGAAACATAGCCACGTAGACCCTAATCTAGTATGGGGTATGTACAGTGAGCAAAGAAAATGAGCACTATTGATTCCTCTGCTGCTCCAAGAAAAATTCGGTGTGTTCTCTCTGAAAGAGTAGATTCAGAGAAGTTCTAAACACATTAGGAGTATCAGATGAGTAGAAATTAAGAATAGGCTCATGCTCCCAACAGTAAGATTTTCCCTAGTCATCTTCAGTCCATTTGACTACAAAACATGGACAGTGGCAGCTCTTTCTGCCCACTTGTGCCTATGCAAGTGTCCTTTATTCTTCTGTCCCCTTTCCCTAATAAACCTGTTCTTTAACAATTAAAAAAAAAAAACAAACACAACAACACACTGACAGTAAGACACCTATATCAGGAAGGAGAATGGAGAGGATTCTTTTATGGGGAACCTGGTCCCAAATGAATGACTTATATGTAGACAAATGGACTGGTCTCTGTTAGATAACCCTACTGAGAAAAAAGAAGATTCTAATACAAACCTGCACAAGCAGGATAAATGTTGCTGCAGTGCCAGGGTGAGGTGAGAGCAATGCATGGGAAAGTAGAAGAGGTCATGTAGTACCTGGTGCCTCAGGGTAAGAAGTGGGGAGCTGATGCTTAACACAATAGAAAACTGCAGTAAACTTTGAAAATGAGACTGATATAATCACTTTACATTTTTTAAAAATCATCCTGGTTTGGGAGTGGAGAAGAGACTGTAGAAAGCCAAGCGGGAAACAGGGTGACTAGTAGACAACTCTAGTAATTAAAGCAAGAGCTAATGACGGCTTGGGATAAGGATTGTGACTGCACAAATGGAGAAAGCTGTATTTTCGAGTTTTGTTTTTTTTTTTAAAGATTTATTTATTTATTTATACAAGCACTGGGTACAGTCAGAAGCGCAGGAAGGTTAGAGAATTCACCAGAGCCAGAGCAGGGAACAGAACAGGCAGACCAATGAAATACACTGCTGAGGGGAGCAGTGGGCCGCAGGAGAAGTCTGTTACACCATGTGGGACCCTCACCGGCAGCCAGGGATCAAACCGGAGCTGCAGAGGCCCAGCGCTCAACCGCTGCACCACCGGGGAGGACCTTTCGAGGTTTAATGTAAAGGTTTTTGTTGATAATATCAAAAGAAGGAAGGGTTATACACAATTTATAGGTTTGGGGCTTGAGTGGTAGGGTAGTAGACTGCAGGGTCATTACTGAGATAGGGAAGATATAACTGCAGGTAGCTTGGGAGGAAAAACACAGGAAAGTAACATAGGTTTGCAGTTATGTTGTGTCCATATGATAGGTAAGTTCATGAAATTTAAAGGAAAACAAGTTAGTTCTAATGCCAGATTTTTAATGCAGCAATGTCTTAACTGTTTTATGCAGGCTCAAGATAAAATGAGTTAGTCTAGGGATGGGGATTTGCCAAGGAATAAAATAGATGTAAATAATGAGTTGATTATAACAGCAATGAATGGACTCTAAACTACATTTACAAAGTAAGGGAAGAAAAAAGAGTTAACAGGAAGGAGAAAGTAAAGTTCAGCATATATGAGTAATCGTCTACAAACTGCATATTTCACTGACAGAGATTATCTAGTAACTAACTAATAGATAATTACATGAACTAACACCCTAGAAATACACAATGGAGGATAAAACATAATTAATTTTGAGGTAATTTTTCCTTTTCTTGAAACTATTAAAAAATACTGTAAAACTGAACTGTCCTATAGTAATACTTCCAAGTAGAATGAAAAAAAGTTCTTACCTCATGATTGTAATCCAAGATTCCTTTTAAAATTTTCTTTAAATTGCTTATCTGTTTAAAGAAAGAGGAAATGACTGGGTTTTTAAAAGGCAGCTCCAAGCACAGAGCAAAATATAGTTTAACATAAAAAACTTCTGAACTAATCATTCTACTTAATCATAAAGTAAATTAAAAAACCCAATGGCATATTTAAATTACTATCATCAAAAAACATCAATGTTTTAATTTATTTGATCTAAGAGATATATAAAACACATTGTTTCTGACTACAAAAAATTTCGATGTTATGATAACATTGATAAAAATGAATGGAATTTAACAAGACTTAAGAGTAAAATTAAATAATCTGGATTTTCTGGAGATAAAGAAAAAACATGCCATCTTAAATGAAGACTTTAGTTCAGTGCTGTCTTCCCTCAGAAAAAGGAGTTGCATCTTACACCAGGCTAATTAAACACAATTAACAGTCAAAATTACCTTTAGAAATCTCCAAAGTAACCTAAGAAGGAGGTTATAACCTATAGAGGAATATCTCCAAATTCCTTCACTGTCAGAAAACACTATGTTTATTTTCTTAATAATTTGTTTAAAATTATTTTTAAATTAACACACAGTAAAATTAACATTTTTGGTCTACAGTTTTACAAATTCTAATATATATATGAATTTGTGTAACCACCACCATAATCAGAAAACAAAACAGCTGCGTCTGTGCATGAATATTTATAGTAGCTCTACCCACAATCTCTAGAAACTCAGAAGTGATCCAAATGTCCTCCTATGGGTTAATGAATAAACAATTTGTGGCACTTCCATAAATTGAAAAATTACTCTACAATAAAAGGGTTGAAAGTACTGATACATACAATAACCTGAAAGAATCTCACAATCATTACACTGAGTAAAAACAGTTAAGTCTCAAAATATTGCATGTTATACAATACCATTTATATATAACATCACTATTTTTCAATTGAAATAATATTGTATTATAATATTATACAGTTTTCAGATGTGCATCATTAAAAACCAACTTAATGTATATATTGTACTAGGTTCACCACTAAAAGTCCAGTTCTATCCTTCACCATATAGTTGACCACCTTTCACCCATACCCTTTCTTCCCCCTTCCCTCTGTTAACCACTAATTGGTACTAGGGTTTCAAAGTTTGTTTCTGTTTAATTTAGACTATCTGTTTGATTTATCTATATGCTACAGATTTGTGAAACCATACATGACTTTTCTTTCCCCATCTGACTTATTTCACTTTGCATAATACCTCCCAGGTCCATCCACCTGGTTGCACATGGCAGGATTTTTTTTTTAATAGCTGAGCAGTATTGCATTGTTCCTCCTACATCCCCTGTTTGCTAATCATCTGTTGATGGGTACACTTAGGTTGTTGACAGCTCTTTGCTATTACAGATAATGCTGTAATGAACATGGGGGTAAGCTTGCTGTTTCCTTAGTTGAGCACCAAACTAAAAAATTTGGAGAAATTGAGAATTGCATTATACATGATTTTATTTGTTCTAGAATGTTGATTTTTTCATATTTTAACATTTAAAATAACATCTTACAAAGTCAATGTGGTCATTTAAAAATGGGAATTTATTTCCCATTGAAAAAGGTATATATCTTATCATTAATCAGTGATACCTAAAATTGAAGAAATATAACAGGATAAAATATGGAGAATAGAATGAAAATCAGAACTGACATTTTTAATTCTGTATATTATGAATATAATACACATTTTTCCCTTCTCTTATTATTGCCTTTGCAACACTTGTGACACTGAGGAGAGAGAGAGGGGGAGAGAGAGAGAGAGAGAGAAAGAGAGAGAGAAAGAGTGTGTGTGTGTGTGTGTGTGTTTGAGTACTGTCTGTGTGGAGGTGAGGTAGGCAACCCCCCTTTGGTCAAGCCAGAAAGCAAACACAAAATGATTAGTACATTATTTTAAACATTCATGAATTGCTTTTAAACATTAAAAATTCAGTTTAATTGCCCATTCCTCAATGATTATTTACAAATTAGAAGTCATTAAAAATATTCATTCTAATTTAAAAAAGAAGTAATTAGATTATGGCAAACCCAACATATAAGCAATCAGTAAATATTTTTCATCAAATACACACTTTTATGGGGAAATACAAACAAATGGAGCTTTGCACATCTTAAGTCCAGGGGTTTTACATGCTTACTCATTTGCATTTCTGAGTCTCTACAGTCTAAATCATAAAGAAATGGTTCCAGAGTTATCAAAACTGCTAGTTGTGATCATTACTGGGCCATGAAAACCAATTAGTGTACAAAATAATAGACATGGGGGACACATAAGTGGTTTTCAGGGACTAGGGGAAGGGTGGGGTGGTGTGGATGTGGACATAGAAAGTAGTACAGGGAGTCTTGTGGAGAAGGAAAGATTCCGTATCTTCATTGTGGTGGCTGCTGTATGAATGTCCAATCTGACAGAGCTACACAGAAATGTACACACCAACACAAAAGTGTGTGTAAAACTGATGATATCTGAATACACTGTTGATTGTACAAATGTCAGTTACCTAGCTGTGCTATTACATTATAATAACACAAGATGTAACCACTAGAGAAATTGGGTGAAAGGTACACAGAACTTCTCTTTAGTGGGTTGCAACAAATACTTTAAAAAATAAAGTGAAGGTATTACTGTATAGAATAAGGGCAAAAAAGTGTTCAACTGTATATGAACATAAATATGGAGAGCAGGTTGCTATGTAAAATGTATTTCTTGTTAGGGGTTTTGGTCAAAGAAGCTTGAGAAATACTGAAATCTAAGGGTATTAGGAAGGAAATGTAAAGAATTCATTCACTGAGTGTTTTGGACCCCTGATAATGAGCAACATTTTTCTCACTGTTAATAACACTACCAACTAACATGTGCTACACAGCATTCTAATGTATTAACTCATTTATTGCTGTAAACAGACACAGAAAGGTTAAAAGTTTCCTAGATTCAGAAAGGGAGAGTTGGGCCATGGATATAAGTATTCTGGGTCTACGGTCCACGTTCTCAGTCGCTATGCTTCACTGACTCACATTCCATTTTGGTAAGCAACTTCAGGTTATCTCCAATATTCAGTCTTGATTATTTCACTGAAGGCTACCTAAGTTTCTAAAGCTCACTAGACACATCAGATAAAAAATCAACAAATATAAGTCAAAGACAAATTAACCGATGGAAAAATAAAAAGAAAATACCTTTAGCCTCCAATTATCTCCTACTTCGGTTTTGATTCTGTTAAGCCAATTTTCATCAAAATATGAAGGATCTCTGCAAATAAGAAAAAGCTAGCATATTAAAATCATGTAGCTATAAAGCTAATAAAGTAACCAAAACTGAAACTCATTCCATGTCATCACTTAACTACAAAATAAAAATGTAATCGCTACATATTATCCACTAAATAACTCAGATAAGTGGATACAATATAGTCTATGAGCTCTTAAAATATTTTTTATCAAAATATAAACTAAAATACAAAAAAAGGTAGTTAATATAAGAGAAAATTATAAATACACTAATATGAAATTAACAATTAGTAGGTATCACACTAATACCTAAAAATAGTAAAAATCAATGACAGAATTTTAAATAGAAAAAAATGTTATGATACACTTTTTCAGTTAAGATTTCATTGACTTTCATCACCTTATACTTTGAAGGTCACCAACAACGTCACTGAAATTTTAACTTCTTTAAATAAACTGAGAACCTAAATGTATTAACAGGCATTAGACAAAAGTGGACACTGTTTCTGTTTACAAAAGATTCAAAATCTAAGATAATATTGGCATGGACATACAATTTGAAACAAGGATGTAAGCTGAATATACTTATGTTTAACTTTCTTTGGAAAATATCCCAAATGCCTATAAATACTAAAAAGAAAAAGAACTTTTTTTTTTTTGCTAAAACCTGGTTGAATTTCATTTTTTTTATTCCAACAGACCAAAATACACATTTATTTATTTATTTTTAATTTTATTTTTATATTCCCCATACAATTGCAACCCCCTTATTTTGACCCCAATCCCTCCTTACCCTGCCCCCATAATGTGTCTCTGGTTCATAGTTGTTTGTCGATTTTGATTTTTTCTTTCTTATATTTATTCTTTTTCCTGGTCCCTTATTTAGGTTTTCTAGATTCCTGCTATGAGTGAGACCATCGGTATTTTTCTTTAAAAAGAAAAAGAACCTTTTTATGGTCCAGCATGATCCTCAGTTCGAAGGTGTGAAACCTGTGCTCTAAGAAATTATTTGTTCAAGATCATAGACTGAACATCTGTTTGCCCTACTCTAGCATAGAGCAAAGTTCAAAGCTCTTTCCATACCATCCCAGCACTCTCAATTTACCTAAAAACACAACACTAACAAGAACTACATTAGGAAAATTTACATTTCAACTTACACTGCCACTCAAACTGATAAATACAATTAGTACTAAATTTTGTCCACATTACAGTTATATGAAACAACATGCCATCGAAAATTTCAAAATTTTATTAAGAAAAATGCATTTATTTAGGTAATAAGTATTAATGAAAAAGTTACAACTAAGTTACCTCTGAGAAATCTGTTATGATTATTTTTGAAGTCTGTGTCAATAACTAGACAACATTAATTTCATAGTCTCTCTACTTTTGAAAACAGCTTAATCGAGATATAATTTACATACCAGACAACTTGCCCATTTAAAGTATACAATACAAAGGATTTTAGTATATTCACAGAGCTGTAGCTCCAATACCACAATCTAATTTCAGAACATTTCCAACTTTTCAAAAAGAAACTGTGTCCATATGCCATCACTTCCCTCTTTCCAGTCTTTGGGAATTACTAATGAACTTTCTGTCTCTACGGGTTTACCTATTTTGGACATGTCATTTAAATGTAGCTTTATAGGGGCCTCCCTGATGGCGCAAGGGGCTAAGACGCAACCTATGAAGCTATCCGCAGCCTCTGCAGCACTAGTTCGATCCCCAGCCAGGGAGCAACCCACATGGCGAAGCAGAACTCTCCTATCTCGCCCACTGCTTCCTTCAGCAGTGTATTTCAGTTGGTCTGCCACTCTGTCTCTGGTGAATCCTCTCACCCCTCCCCCAACTCTGGCCTGTACCCCAGTACTGTATGCATAAAAATAAAATCTTAAAAAAATTTAAAAAATAAATGTAGCTATACATTATGCAGACTTTTGTGCTTCGCTTTTATCATGTAGTATTCAGGATACAGGTCCCTATCAGACAAGACATGAAATAAGTTTTCTCATTTGCTGAGCCACCTTTTCACTTTCGGATGGCATAATTTGCAGCACAAGATTTTTAATTTTGATGATGCTCAATTTACCTTTTACTTTTGGTGTTGCATCAAAGAAGCTTTTGTCCAATTCAAGATCAGGAAGATTTACTCAATGTTTTTTCCTAAGAGTTCAATAGTGTTAGCTCTTATATTTAGGTTTATGATCCATTTGTATCTTGTGTAAGGAAGTGGTCTAACGTCATTCTTTTGCATGTGGATATTAATTACCCACTGATTTTTGTTTTAAACCTAATCTAGCTTCTTTAGTTAAGAACCTTTCGTTATTAGGTAAGAGAAATGAATTTGAGCAAATGTGTGCAGGAAAAGAAAACTTATTAGAAGATCACTAAGATATATTATTGTAATGAAATATAACTGGGACTCATGAAAAACTGGAAAAAGTATCTGGAAAGCTGTTTAAAATACAGAGAGGACACTTTCTGTCTCAGTCTATCTTTCTGTCCATCTACAGTTTTTCTCTCTGTAGGCCAACTTTTTTTCTGTTTCTCATTACACACACGGGAGATAGCTGCAGACACGTTCCCAGTCTTCAGTTCAAGCAAATACCATCAAGACCAGCCATTCCTCAGTACCAATTTGAAATTTCCACAAAAATCTAAATGACTCAACTAGAGTCTATTTTTTCCAACTCTGGTCCCATTACATAGGACCAAAAAGACGGAGAACAGAAAGCAAGACACAACTTTAGGAGGAAGAATGACCACACATGTGAGAAGCAATCAGAAGAGGGATGAGTTTTCAGAGAAAGGGAGTGCTATAAACTGGCAAACCCCAAGTATCCCCTTTAAACTTCTTGTGAGAATAGATAATGCAAATAAAAACAACGGAAGTAAATTCCACTAAATTATGGAATAATCATAAAAATGTAGAAAAGGGAAAACATTCATTTTTGGGAGACATTTAAGTAATCTAAAAAGCTGTAATCAAAAAGAACAATCCTTGCCAATCAAGTATTAATATTTCTAGCCAAGAAACTCACACAGAGGACAATCAAGGAGTTTAAAACAATGTGGCTGGTGACTACCCAAAATGAAAGGCACTGAACTTACCGAGTGGCAATTCAGAATCACACAGCTAGAAGATAATCATATTTCACCAGAAAATCACTAACTTACAGAAAAGATTGCTATAAAAAGTCTAAGAAATTGCATAGTATCCCAAGAACTCCAAGATCATAGGATACTTCATTTGTAATTTAGAACAATACATATTATGAATAAAACAACTTTGAAAAATCTATTTAAAATTAAGCACCGTAACATAGTTCATTTTTTTTTAAGAGATTACAAAATCAAAATCGCAGAAGCATATCTGAGCTAGGAAGGGAAGACAACAAAAACAGTCATTACCATCATGAACTAAGCATCAATAATATGCCAGGCACTGAACCAGGACCTTATATTTGCAATGACTTTGCAAGAAATGTATGATTATTTCTATATTTCAGTTAAGGAAAAACAGATTCATAAGTCAAGTGATTTTTCCCAAGTTCACTCATATAGCTAAGTGGTAGAAGTGATAATATAAGCATTTCTGTTAAGACAGAACAGCAGAGTTCAACACAAAACTGTTCTAACAAACAACAAGGTCCTGTGACTGATATCTCCTTCATGCACAGTAAACGAGGTCACAAGGAGAAAAGACCAGCATCATTCATGATACTCTATGTTCATCAGGGCAAGGATTTGTTCCCACTTACTGCCCCACACCTCCAATCTGACACAAAGCAGGTTTTCATTAAATACCTGTGGACTATAACACATTCGGGAAGCGATTGTGCTGTTATTTAATAAGCTTCCAATCTACACATCAAGAAAAGTAGTCTACAGTTTTCCATTCAGTGTGACTTTTCCTATAATAAATTGTGTCTCAATATGCAGGCGGCTATCCATGACTCTGTTTCTGTAAGGAGTTCACAATTTCAGCGGTATTTTCTAACTACCCACTTAATATTTCTCTGGCTAGGATCGCTCTTCTCCAAAATCTCTTACAGATATATAAAGAACAACTGATCATTTTATCTTACTGGGAGTATTCCTAACAAGCTATCTTTAGCTTCTTACTGCATTCTGTTACCTGCTAAGGAAAAAAAAAAAAAAAAACATGAAATATACAAAACCATTTACTTAAATATTTCCAGTGTCACTTCTATTTGGTTATAACTTATGTACCAGCCACAGCTTAAGCTAAAGGAAAGGCTCATTCATTTTAATTCAATATAATACCAATTTTCATCTGCCTGTAGTCAACTGCCCCCACAGAAACCAAAAACTTTTTATTTCTACTGCTAAAATTATTTCAGCAATTTAATATTATCTAACTCCCCCAAATAAAAATGGGGTCAAAAACCAAAAATGTATATTGATTCCATTTCTTAATAGGATATTTTAATAGCAAATCTTAGTTTTTTTCCCTTTATAAATACATTGATTCTTAGGTCCATTTTAAATGACCTTTCAGTTACTTGGAATAATCATTTTGATCCCCTTGCCATTAAATATGTATTAGAAAATTAGCTACAATAATTTCAATTTTGTATCTACAATGACAACAAAGTATAGCAATTATACTTGATGCCTACTGTGTCAATACCAGCATATAAGGGATAGCCTCCAAACCAAGGACAGCAGCTCAGGGTACTATAAAAAGAGTATCCTTTTACGAAGCATTCCACCATTATCCACAGCTTGACCTTCATCTTATCTCCCATGGTCTCATTTATTTTCTTTTCCCCCTCTTTCTTGAACTCTGGAAACAACACCAAAGGCACTTAGAGGCAAAACTTACTACTTGTGATCTTACTCTTTTGATCAATATGCGGTTGTAAATATACTGTGCTTCCTGGCACTGAGTTCCTAAAACCTTTAAAATTTCCTAAGTGGTGTAAGTATCTTCTATAATTTATGATTATCCCTGTCCAAACATACCTGGGTTTATGATAGAAGTGATTTAAT